ATTCTCTCACTCTCACTGGGCCTTTGTACAGTGCGATCCCTCTCTCACTCCGATGACAGCCCTTCTATTCCAGTCTCTTTATCTATCGGCCTGATTCTCTGTTTCTCATCTCATACCACATTATCTGGTTATGGTTTTTTTTTCATAATATTGATTTACTGAGATTCCCTTCCCCCATCTTGTCTGGCAGCTGTTTTTGGTACATTTGTTGCTATTGAGTGTTTTGTTGTGTCTCGTCATGTTGGCATTATTACATTTCTGCAGGGTATTAACTCCTTACACATAACATATTTAGATCACTATGTTGCCTTTTATTGTTTTGAAAATGCGATAGTCACCAAAAATGACGTATTAACATGTTTAATAACTTTCACTTTTGTATTTGATGCTCTGAGTACCCCCTCGTTTGTTCACCAAGTCACTTTCCCTTCAAAATGCAATGAGATATCACATAGATTGCAAGATTACTCAAACATGAATGACAAATAAACCACTCTAGGCATGTTTCTGACGAGAGAACAGCATTATTACATAAATCGATTGTGCATAATATCCACTCTTTTAATATTATCAACTTTATAGTAATTCAGTTGTGGATCAAGACCACTCGAAGGGTATGTACATTCACACACACCTAATCAAAACTGTGACAAATCTCAGAACTAATCCTGGACAAGAATGAGTGTGAATGCAGCATAAAAAAATTAAGTCAAACATTTTGTCATGTTTATGTGATTATCTTTAGTACTGACACTTTTTCAAATGACTAAATCTAGTATCTGGATATCACTTTTTAACGCATTGTACGCCTACTGATTTGTGACTAAATCGAAACAAAAAATAGGACTTGACCAAATATTGGGGAAAAAATATGAGTCATGTGCCACAACTTCATAATACGAGTGATATCCATTATACGCCCAAAGATTGATGGTCCTTTTATTGTAAGTCTACTTCCTATGCAATGTTTTGTTTCCTCATCAAGAACAAAGCTGGAGTTGTATTTGTTTTGTTTTGTTCTTTCTTTTTTGAGTGATCCCGCATACTATATTTGACATCAGAAAGATACCTGTAATCAGACATCTTCATAAAACGGAATGCAAATTTATCACTCAAATAATCCATCTGTAACTTTGAAGCTACGGCAGATTAAGATCGCTTCAATTCAGGTCACTTCCTAGCCTCTAATGCCAATAAAAAAAACTGGGCAAACGTTGTTCAGAAAGTAGTAAGTACCCATAAATCCTATAAATACTTATTATAGGACATATAAAGTTTTATTATTGAGCGGTCATGTTACTTCAGTCGCCTATAGTTAATTACGATGCAAAATATGTGTTTCTTTTAAGAGTGATCCTAAAGTAAGTCATTTTATTATATGTAAAACTCTTAAAAGGAATAATTATTTGGTTAAACGTAAACAAGTGAGGGAGCATTTACTAGTTTGCATAGCTATTACTGTGTATTTGCATATGTTTAACGCTCACTGTATTCCAGTTTTAGCACATATAGGCTACTTCTGCATTACAAGCAACTTTACAGACTTGTTCTTACTGCAAATCTTTGAGCTATGTAACATAATATTTCCATTTTCTAACATGCGCTGTGTCAACTAAGCACACGTGTTCTCGAAAGACTGTCTGTACGGGCAGGTCCACTGTATACATGCTGACCTTTATGTGGCCTTTCTAATTGATTACTGTCTGCATTTTGGACACAGTTGAGTTCACTGACCCTTTTAGAAGATTGGTTGAAATTGACTGCTTGTTTTGCCATAAATAATTAGTCCTTGAAATCTATTACAATCTAACTACACTACACACATGCTTATGACTAGATTATAAATATTGCAGTGAGGTTTAGCGCAGTGGATAATATGTTTACATGCACAGAAATAAATCGGATTATCTGATTTCTGGAGTTCAAATCAATCAATATTTGAATATTCTAATTACTTTGCAGGTTCTTACTTGCAAAACTGTGTAGAAAATTGTCAACTACAAAGACAAAAATGGTAAAGAATGACGTTAAAGGTGCACTGCGTAACTTTTTGGTTGGGGGTCTGTCATTGCTCTGCCTGGAATGTTCCGCAGTATGACATTAAACAGCATTATTAAATTAAGGTGCTTCTTTAGGTCAAAAATACCTAAAAAGTTGCCTCTCCACAGATCTAACCTGTAACTTTGGTCTGGTTTGGTCTCCTTTAATGCCATACTGTGAAACATTCCAGCGAAAGCAATAACAGTACAGAGAAAACACATTTGAGAGACCCTCCAGCAGAAAAGTTACTCAATGCACAATTTAAAAAGTCAAATGTTGTTTTTAAAATCCATTATAGGCCCACTTATGTATCTATACTACATACAATAGTTTTCTTCTAAAATGTGTTGTCTTTTATGACTTAGGGAATACTTATAAACCAAATATTAATAAATTTTTTCTACTCCAAAAGAAAGTTATCAGGATTATTAATCATGCAAATTACTACGCACCAACAAATCCTCTTTTTGTTAAGATAAAAGTACTTAAGTTTTTTTTATCTTGTTGACCAGAGTACAGCCATAGTGATGTACAAAACCTATAATTAAATGCTTCCTTCTTGTCTACAGGAGTTATTTGAGCAGAGTCAGTATAACCTTATAAGAACAGACACAAAAATGAAGATAAGAACTAAGAAAATAAGTGACTATTTCTGGTAGCGGAGATAGTGTATGAAATAACCTGAATAACATTGTAGAAAGGTATAAAATATTATATTTTGAAAGCTAGAAAGCTCTAGAATGAATGAATTATGCATTAAATTTTGTTTGTTTTAATTTATATTTTGTCTCTTATATATACAGTAAGTCGCAAGTGAAATTGTAAATGCAAACTTGTTTTCTTTCTTGGAATACTGTCATTGTTTATTATAAGTACTAGTTTTACTTTTACTTCAGCCTAAACCCTTTCGGTCATGGTCTATGGGGTTGTAGTCTATGTTTTGTTTTGTTTTGTTTTGTTTTGTAGTGCTGCAAAATGACCGAATAAACTACTACTACTTCAGTTTAATGTCATTTTTGCATGTAAACACACACCAAATGCTAGATCTAATAATTACATCATCGGACTGTACAAGTAATCTGATTTTCACTGGGCTTGTAAATGTACCCAGTGCGTGAAAGATTGAAAATAAGATAAGCAAATCAATGTTACAGGTGCTACTAAGTCATGCGCATTGGTCCATGTGATGCCTGCACTTTATACTGACACAGCTGGATGCGGGATGGAGATGCGAGCCGAGGCCTAGTCATGACAGTGCCGCGTACACCCACCTCCTCCGCCTGTTTACGCAGCGCCTTCTCCCGCTCGTACTGGGTGATGAGCTGCTCGTTGTCCTCCTTGAGCAGCTCCAGCTCCACTAGGTGCTCCTGGTTCTCCGTGAGCACCGCGTCCAGGTTCTCCAGCACGTTGACCACCAGCGGCATCAGCTCCTTCACCACCTCCTCGTCGTAGCTGCGGATGAGGCGCTCGAACTCGCGGTAGATGGTGCTAGCCAGGCCCGACACCCGCTCCGACATGACAGTCCCGGAGCCGTAGTCGTCCTGGTACACCACCTCGTCCAGCTGGAGGTCCATCATGTTGGCAGCTGGCGGGTGTTCAAAGCCGGCGTTGCGCGCAGATTACAGGCCTGGAGGCAGAGAGTGTCACGGGCTGTGGATGGGGGTTTCCGCGGATGGATAGGCGACAGGATCAGGTCATATTCAGGAGTGACAGGCTCGCAGGGGAATGGGTGCAGCTGCGGCGGAGCTGGACACAGTACCGCGGTCTATCTGAAAGCAGAGGCTGTTATTCCCGTAGCATTTCGCGGCGCTGAGTCCATGTCTCGGAACCAAACGTCGTCTTCGATATTGCACCTGCCCCTCAGCTGCAGCCATGGACCCCAGCCATTACAGGCGGGGAAATAAATAAATAAATAAATAGCTAAATAAATAGGTAGGTACTGTCCTCACTGAAGCGCGGGGCCGCTCCTAACGCGCCGCTGCTTGGTCCATGTTTCCTTTCCCCCTTGTAGCGGGCAGCGGATGCCGCCGGGCCCGGGTTGATGGTGCGATCGCCCCGCTGTGGGAGAGGCTCACCTCCGCTTCAGATGGAGAAGCCTGCTGACCCACTCCCTGACGTCACACCGTCTGCAGCCAGCGTCAATGCGTCAACGCGAGGGTCAAATCGGAAGTGCTTCTAATCAAAATATTGCACTTGTTCATACTTTACTTGTTTTAAAAATAAACTCAAATTATGCATAAATTCTCTGAAATATATGAATGGACCTAAAGCTCAAAAAGTGTATTCCTACATAAGGGCAATTCCCCTGGACTCTATGAATTCAGGCTATCATCTTTTTTCTTTTCTTAACTATGCAAATGCGCTTTTTATTTTGTTTTGGTTTTTTTTATTATATAATTTGTTGTGTTTATGTTCCCTCGTCCAGCCATTTTGTTGTATCACGTTTGCGCACTCAGATGTGTGTATTTAATTTTTTTTTAAAAAAGCTATTCATACTTAAAAATGTAGTTTGTATAGATTAAGAATATTTATATATTTATATTTTCTTAACAGTGGCAAATAAAAAATAATTATCCAGGGAGACCAGGTTATGCCAATGCCTGGACATACCTGCAAAATATCCTCTTATTTTGAAAGGAATATTGAAATTTCATGTTTGCAATTGACCGTTCACGATTTGCAGGTTATTTTTTTCACAATGAACCGTACCCACCACTCACGAAGTCCTGCTGAACGAGACAAAAACCATGTTGAGGAAACTAGTCATGCCTGGTCCTCGTTTCCCGTTTTACCAAATTTAGCTCTGGAGGATGAGACCATTATGAATCATCAATAAAGGATGGTCTGTTCGACCGCTTTTCTTCAGCTTTTCACTAGGGGGCAGTGCTACACAACATTCTCTAATACATTTCAGGATACGTAATAAGCGTATATTACTAGATGTAAACAATAACACAAGCTCAAAATTCACAACAACTTTATTGCAACTTACAGGATTCTTTCTGCTGTGTTCATTGCTGGCCATACAAACACTACTGGACAAGGTAGCACCCAAAAAAAAAGTAATACAGTCTGTGGGGATGAATAGAAAGTTCACTGGATATCAGGGGGAGTTAAAGCACTGTCTTCTGTCGTTTTAATTTAAAACATAAACAAAGGCCTACCGCACGCAAGAACTTACTTTTACAACATGAAGCAATGAGAACAAAGCAGAAAACTACCTGCACAATATATTCAGATAAAATATTACAAGTGGAATTGTTTGACAGTTGAACGCAATTGATTTGTCTCTTTGATTTTTGGCTTTTCTTTTAACAAACATTCTGCTCCATCGGTCGTTTTAATCTACAGTATAATCAAAAGGGAGTACATTGATGTTTTAGTAAGGCCACTGGCTAAAATATGTGAATTACTATAAATGAATATAGTTTTCAATCTAGAATATCGGAATATTCAGCATTCGGAAATCTTAAAAAGGCAAAATTGAATATCCTTTAACAATCAACTGGATACTCTTACAAAACCATTTAATCATGACAGCTGTGGATCTGATTGAGAGCACAGCTGTACTGAATGATAGGCTGCTGCTGCTGCTGCTTACACATTATTAATGAACAAGGCCTTATTAACAGAGTTAAGTGCGAGCGGTTGAGGCAAACACAGAAAAAGGTAAAACTCCTGCGATGTTAAGATGAGATAACCGTTGGGAGTTGGACGTTGGAATGAAAGAAAGTTACAGACAAACAATCAGGCAGGAGCGGTGAATTCAGAGGCAATCAATAGAACACAACGCTGGACTTTCCTCCTGGGGGATTGAGGACCCTGTTATGGGAGCGGGGTATGGGTCCGAGATGGGGCTCATGGTTCTTCTGGGAGGCTTCAGTCTCAGCGGGGGCAGTCGTCTTTGGCTCAGGTGCAGATGAGACAGGAGACACCTCTTTGGCTGGCTCTGGTGCTGGGGCTTCTACCTTTACCTCAGGCTGGCTCACAATGGGCTCAGGTGCTTTGACAGAGAAGACAGTCAGTCAATGCAAAGTTAAATACAGTGCATTGATAAAATGATGATCATAACTCACCTGGTGACTCTGGTCCGACTGTTAAATTGTCCTGAAAACAGAATGGGTCAAATTAGAAATATGTTCATGTGCTTTGAATAGAAATTAAAATAAGGTTGGTTTGTCAGACTATGGATGCAAATTAAACAATTTCTGTATAATTGACCAAATTAACAACAGTTAATAAATGAAATAGAGGATAATAAATGATAGATAGAGAATAGAGACTACATATTCTTGCAAAATGGTGTGATATACACATTTATATAATTACATGGTTGTGGAAAAAAAAAAAAAAAAAAAAAAAAAAAAGGTTCCACCATACCTTTGGCTTATTGGGGTGGCCCCGACTGGGGCTTTGGACTGGTGTAGAGTCTGCTGACCCAAATATGTTACCACTTGTGGGTCCACCTGGAGGTATAGGTTTCTGAGGCCGAGCTGGAGGTTCAGGTTGGCCAAATATATTACTACTCTTCCCCCCTATGAGGATAGCAATTCATGGTAAACGACTGGCATGGGGGTGTGAAGCAGTCATTCTCTTATTATGAAAAAACATTAAATAACACCTGGAGGGTTTGAGCGTTTGGCAGAACTTTGAGGCTCTTCAGGAGGAGCAAACACTGAAGAGGCCATCTTGTTGGGCTTTCTTTGAGCTGAGGCATCCTCTTCATATCCACCAAAAAGATTACTAGACCCACCTCCAGGAGGCCTCAACACCCTGCAAAATAAAATGTTGCAGTTATAACAACTATTGAATGGCATATGTTTGGTAGTAGTATCAAATAAAAAGTGATAAAATGCTGTGTAATATAGAACAAGTTCATTTAAGTTTGGTAGAATGAAGAATGACGGTATCTGCAGTACTGTACAGCCGTGACAGAACATGTATCAGGTCAGAGCAGAGGCCACGCAGAAGGAGCCACACGTCACAGCTCTTTGGCTAATGGTAATTGGGAACAGGCATTTAAAAAGGTCGCAAAAGCGAACCAGAATATTCGATTACATTTGGTTGCAGAGCGTTTTTGACTGAAGTACTCTGTGTTTACATTTCACGTAAACACGTTAATTCCCCGTGAGACAGGATTAGTGCGCATACAAAAACATGACTTTTTAAGCGTTTCACTTCCGCAATAGACAACGCCTGCTCAGTTAACGCTAGCCTTGGCTAAAGCTAGTTAGCACTTGCGATAAAGTTTACTTGCGCTTGTTCAGGACATAACGGTATAAGTACATACAAACAAGATATTCCCCTTCAACAGGAATAATACAAATACTGAAAGCGTTGTTGTTAGATAAACGATGAACTCTGTAACATCTCACGATATTCTCGTGATACTTGCTTACGAAGTATTACAGCAACGCCACACAGACAAACATGTTGTACCTGGAGCTCGGCTTCGCTCCGGTATCCAGCCCCTGAAACATATTTGTCGAAGTCATCTTGGCTTTTTATGGAGCTTAAGTTTCCACGAACTCCTGCCAGCTAGAGCCCAGCTCCTCCAGACCAGCGTGTGCCCGACTGATCTGTACTCCGAGGAATGTCCGCCCAACGGTCGCAGAGGAATATAACCGGAGCTCGTCCAATCACCGGGAGCCCGAGAGGAGGAGCGCTCGGTCTGCGCTTCGCCGCCGCCCGGGAGCTCCAACACAACGGCCCCCGGCTTCAGCTTCAGACACGGAACGTAGAAACGTGTATATTTAATGATCACCAAAACCACGACGAGTCATGTAAAAAAATAATCTACTTAATACTTGACTTGCTAACAATGTATTGATTTTAGGTAAATATTTTATTCACATATGACGTTTTTTTTTTTTTTTTTTTTGACAAATGAACTTTCTGCTAACTCATTGGGGCTAATTGAGAGAAAACAGGCTAAAATTATTTTAATTTATTCCTTTAAATTAGAGCTTTGAAATTGTCACTTCTTTATTTTATGTTTTTATCCACTGTTGTGTTTTTTATACTTTTATTTTATTTTCATGTGAACTGTATATTTTTATAAGGTGCCGTTTTTGTTTGTATCTGAAAATCTGGGGGGGGGGGGGGACAAAAAAAAACACGTAGCGCTTGCTAAACATTTTCATGGAATTGGCTCTGTGAGACAAAAAGAAACTATTATTTCGGTTGTATAACAAAGTCTGTTATGCAACCTTTAACATATACTGGTGAAGTCCATATTAAATTCCTTCAATGAAAATTCCCTCAAATTCGATGACAAAGTTGAGAGTTTTGGCCCTTTAAAAGAAATAGCACCACGATTGGTCTTTTGAAATATATTGCTGATAATAATTGGTTTTAAAGCCCATCAATCATAAAAATAAATCCCGCCTTCTTGCCGTTGTAGCCAATGGGAGCGTTTGTTTTCGAGTTGTAAGAGGCGTGGCCAAAGCGCGTGGAAGTTCTGCAGGAACTGTCAATGCGCGAACCGCAAGCTACTGTCACAGCGCGATGCTAGTGCGGGCCTCGTCTGGATTTACACTTTTACTGCAGGTAATCGAACAATCTGAGCATATCTACTTAAATTAAACATGTTATACTTTGGCAGTGTAGTGTTTTTGTCCTCTGCTGTTGCGCTAGTTTGTAATACATCAACAAAAGGGAGGTACAGCTATGCTAAAGCAGTGCCCAAACTGCACCTCGAGCAGCCCATTTATGGCCTAAAACTACTCAGTGCTACTGTACTTTGAGTGGAGAAATAAAGTGATGAATCCTAGCTATATTAATAGATTTTAATTGTGTCTAACATTTAATAACGATTTCAGTAAAATTAAAGGGGGCTAATAAGTTAGAAGATTTCTTTAATAATCAATCTTTTCCAAATAACACTATCTCTAACTACAGTAAAGTTCAAACCAAGTTTTGGCTACTTGGACAATAGTTTGGTGAAATAATGTAAGGCATAAAGTAAATTAGAGGGTTTTGTTATGTTTTTATATCTGTCTATTTCCCCCTTGAATTATCAGTAGACAGATTTATACATTACTTTGCTTTAGACGCATCTAATACATGTGAATGCCACAGTGCACCTGATGCAAATATGTGTGTATTTCAACTGCAACATATAAGCTGTTAAGATAGTGCTGCAATTGGTGGCCCTGGTTTGTATGATTATTATTTTAATGGTTAGAGGGCTGTGTGGGCAACTCAGCACTAGGACACTAAAAGGCTCCATTCAGCCTGGTTTAATCAAAGTATCTGCTCGTCTATTCAAAGCAGCTTGGCACATAAGTGCACCAACATAGTGCGCCACATTTTGGGTATATATATTCATGTATTGGTATGTGTTATTTCCTTTAAATTAATAGTGAAAATGAGCTGTTGAGTAATGTTGTTGCTGATAGAAAACTGTTGAACTGCGCAGAGTTGAGCTCAGTCGAGTCTGGAACAAGGAGAGGGCAGAAAGCGGAGATATTGCTCTGGGTTTTATTATGCTTAATTTGCTCAGTATTTGTCTATTAAGCCGATCGGATCCATGGTGAAGAGAAAGAAAACGTCGTCTATTACAGATGAGCATGATTTTGGGTAAAATTGTCATTGAAAGAAATACTTTATTTAGAGGTCGAAATCACCGAGCGATTGTCGTTGTCGTTTCTGCAGGGCGCTCCACTGAAAAGTGTTCGCATTTGAATTTAGTTCAAATCCTCTCTCACGTTTCCTTACTTTTTGTAGAGAAACACTCGAGTGGACACGGCGGTTAGTTAGCAAAATGTTTTTGCCTCTGAATATTATTTATTTGGGCACGTTAAATTTATATTTTTGGTGTTGTTTTGTCGGGACCAGAGAGGGGATTTGAAACAAACAGCGGCGGCCATGTTGAGACACAGCGATCGCTGTCTTTAGAAGTTAATTTTGGCTATTGCTTTGCTCACAACGTGACAATTTGTCTCTAAATATGTTTGGCAGCATGACCACGGGCTCTAGGGAGGGGATCGGTGTCGATGAGGGCAGGAATCCGTCTAAAAATCCCGAAGGTTGTGACGAGGAGGAGAGCGGAGAGCAGGCGAGCGAAGAGCACAGTACAAAGGGAGACGACGGAGTGGAAAGTCTTAATCCATCAGCAACTGCTCTGAACCCCGGTCCAGCTCCCGTGCATCCCGCTTCTGAGCCGAACCGAACCGGGCACAGCGCGACCCAGCAGCCACATGCTCCAGCCGAGACCACGCAAACGTGCCCAGACCAACATCATTTTCTACGCTCCAGCGTCCGACCTCCAAGCAAACGCATACGGAAGGATTCAGTGGGCACGACCATCAATGGACATGGCGGGGCAAAAGCGAAAGGTAATGCAGGTGACCCGTGTGCCCTGAGATGACCATGTGTGATGACGATGCTTAATAATGATGTGTAATATGGGAGGATAAGGCGCATATTATTATGAGCAAACTGCTGTTCTATGTGGGAGTGCTTTTCTGCTCCCTCTGGGCCGCCAGCCGCCTCAATCCACCTCAGCACTCACATACTCAAAGTTTCAACAACAATTCTCTGTCGTATATATGTTGAAAATTATGATTACCTACTTTGGAATTTATACAACATTTCAATTATAACGTTTTGTCACACCACTTGATAATAAATATTTTCATTATTAATGATTAATTTTTAGGCCTGCACATTAAGCACTGACAAAATCTACAATGTTTTGAGAAATTATGTTCTTAATTGCTGCAGTCTTCCACAAATCCTCCATCTTATGTCCTGTAAAACCAAAGCCAATCCAGGGTTGCATCAATTCAACTGAGCATTGAACCACACATGCATATTTGTTGCTACAGCAAAACAATTAACTCTATGTGCATATGTTTGTCTGTTGTTTAGGTGCAGAGAATGGTTCTAGCCAGGTTGCCGTGGGACAGTCAGGGGCTGCGTCCGGCTCCACAGGAGCATCCAAAGCATCTAAGGGTCAGGCCTCTGTGGAAAAGGACGAGGGGAACCAGAAGCGTGCTCGGCGTCAGTGGGAATCCTGGAGTGCAGAGGACAAGAACAGCTTCTTTGAGGGACTCTATGAGGTAGAGGGAAGAACATTTAGATTGTGTCCCAAATATGTTACAAACCTATACTCATCATGTGTTTGCTGTACAGTATGGGAAAGACTTTGAGGCTATCCAAAACAATATTGCAATGAAATACAAGAAGCGAGGCAAACCAGCCAACATGGTTAAGAACAAGGAACAAGTTCGACACTTCTACTACCGCACCTGGCACAAGATCTCCAAACACATTGATTTTGCCAATGGTAAGTTCTCTTTTGTTTTGTTGTACAATTTCTGTTTTTGTGTAGTATGCAAGGTTAGGTAGTCTGTGTTGAAGATAAAGAATGAGATATGCTTTATCCATTACTTAAAGGGACTGTCATGTTATCTCAAAGCAGCATGTGCATCCTGCATGCTGGTTGCTATAGTGACAATGTTTTTACTCCACAGTGTATTCCCGTGCGCTGAAAAAATCCTCTCAAGAACTCTATGGTCTCATCTGTTATGCAGAGCTCCGCAAGAAAGTTGGTGGAAGTAAGTAGAGGCTCTATCATTGTAACTGTTATTGCCTAGAAGTTTTTGTAATGGGATTTAATGTATTATAATCACTTAAATGAGACAACACATGTTCTAAACCACTCTCTTTTGTGTTGTCTTTGTTAGTGATGGATGATAAGAATGTGGCAAAGCTCAATGAACTCATTCAGCAAGGGTATGTCACTGAATAGTAACAAACATTAGGAACAGAATTTGCACAACCCCAAAGATATAATCATATATTTGTTTCTTTTTGTTAATGAACAGGGCCACAACCGTACGCTCCAAGGGGAGGAACTTGAGGATAAAGGCGCCAATGTGTAGAGCCCTAAAGAAACTTTGTGACCCAGAAGGTAAGAGTTTAAGAGCTCATACATGGCACTATTCTGTGTAATGTAGCAGGTGTGCTGAGCATCTAGAGCTAATGTATATCTGCAGGTGTGAGTGATGAAGAGGACCAGAAGCCGGTGCGCCTCCCCCTGAAGATGGCAGTAGAGCTACAGCCCCGCACCTCCTACTCCTGGGCCCGAGTGCAGAGCTTGGCCCACAACCCTCGCCTTAGGTCAGCTGAAAGTCGGCTATGAGCTTCTGTTATTCTAAATACAAACTACGCTTTATTTACAGCCATAGTTACACTGTCTGAACATAATGTATGTTTTTTCAGAATGGTGGTGGAATTACACCGAAAAGTCTCCAGCCTCATTGAGTATTTGAAGCAAAAGTGGGCGTACCAGGACCAATGGATTGTATCCTTTCAAGACAGTACTAAGAAATTATAAAGTGTCAACTTTAGTAAATGGTCGTACATCTGTTACCTAATGCACAAACATTATGCTTAATTTTGTCCTTAATGCAAATTGATCCAGCTTAAGAGTCTTATGGAACGAGAAGCTCTGGAAGGAGGCCAGTCCTCTGTGGCTTCCAGGTCTCAGCAGGATGAGCTGGTCCTGTACCCTGCAGAGAGCAGTTCCTTGACCACGCTGCCTGGAGTAGCACGTGTTGTGCACTCCAAAGCCTTCTGCACCGTACACTGGCTGGAAAGTGGCAAGAATCGTCCCAATAACAAAGAAATTCCTGCTGCTCAGATACTGGGCATTCACAGCTCCTCATCGCGCCCTGCTTCAAAATCTGGAAAAGGTGCTACCCTCGCTGGAAGTGTGGCCTCAGGCACTTCCCAAGGAGAAACCAAAAGGATTGAATCACACAATTCAGAGCCATCATCAGATCCTGTAAAGCTAGAGGAGAAGAAACCCCAAAAACCCCAGCTTGTACCACCTTTTCATCTCCACGAGGAGGGCCACAGACAGTCTGAGGGGGACAAGGAGAAAGCCACCAGCATGGACACAAATGGTAGCATAGTGGACACTAGTATAATGGACAAATTAAGTAATAGCACTCCCAGTTCAGAGCAGTGCAGAGAGGAACAAGGCAACATGGTGTCTTCTCCTGAAACCAGCCGGACTCCTCCAGCCAAGCCCCTGTTACCTGAGGTGGGAGGACCTAAAGAGCGGACAGTGGAGCAGATCCGAGAGGAGGGCTGGAGCTCCAGAGACCCAGACAGCGTCACTCTGGCTGAGCTATACCTCATGTTTGGAAAGCCCGGAAAGCTTCAGCTGGAATATGACTGGCAACCCATTCCAGCTCCTCTTCACAGCTCAGGGAATGGACAAGAAGCGGTAAAGCACACGAGGATGAACAGTGTGCTGCGTTGTCTGTTGAAGCTGGTGTCATCCGAGGCCAATCCTAAACCTCTGGTAAGAAGTGACTTTGCTGTTTTTGTGTCTGCTCTATGTCATAGTTTGTGATTCATGTGTTGTGTCCTAAAATTTGATGGTGTTGCAATTTCAGATGAAGGGCAAGGACTTGTGTAACTCTATGGGAGAAATATCCAAATTTGCAATCCCCGGTCGTTGAACCTTATCATTATTAAAACTGGCTCCACAATCTTGCCATTATAATTTTTAAAGAACACGTGTTTAAAATATAGTGCCTGAGTCTGCTATATAACTATAATCTATGACACCCATGGCTCATTATGCTGTAATTTGCACATTTTAAATTGCAATATTAATCCAAATCCAAATCCACTTTATTTATATAGCACATTTTACAAACAAAGCAGTTTCCAAAGTGCTGCACAGAGATCATAAAATGAAGATAACAAAAAGGTAAATCGCTAAAATTTGGTCATACCACTAAACATACCACTACTAAAACAATAAAACCAGTAAAATCAAAAACAAGCAAGACCATAAAAATCATAAAATGGCAGTAAATAAGTAAAAAAAAATATATATTATTATTATTTTTATTTTATTATTAAGATAAATAAAACACACAGAGGACCACAGAACTCGCGCAGTGTTAAAAGCCAGAGAATAAAAGTGGGTCTTAAGTCTATCTTATGTGTGTTAAGTGGGACTTATTAATCTAAAACACTTAATAAAAGAAACAAGTCCGCTAACTTCTGCATTAGTAAACGGTGGTACCCATTGGGAGCTAATGTCTCAGTAAACATCATCACAGCAAAGAGCCGACAACTCTGATGGACAGCTGCAGATCACTCTAGAGAGTAGCAGATTTTTTTTTTTCCCATTTGTACCAAAATGATAATGCAACGTTGCTGTATCCTATCCTGAGTAAAAAAAATACAATGGAGTACAAAGTATGTACAGAGCAGTGGGCGTATTCCTTTGGTGGTGAAAACGGGGGTTGATCGGCAATACAGCGTCTTGAAAATGAGTGATTAAAGATTGCTCAAACATGCAGGAATTGCTCCAAGTACAACTTTGAGAAGATAAATAAGGGGAAACAACTATAAAATGGTTAAACACTCTGAAAAGTTGATTTTGGAGAGTAGGTCTGCTCTAACATTTCACCTTGTTTATTTATGCTGACAAATGTTAACAGCTAATTCTACCATACAATTTTTTCCTGTCCTCCATTTTTGAATAGGTTTATTTGCTGTATTGTGTATTTTAGGGGTCCCCAAACCCTGAGCTGGGGACCAATACCAGGCCGCGAAAGCGCGATCCCCCTCTCCCATACGCCGCGTGAAGAGTCCCCCAACAACTTCTGTACGCCATGCGAACCATCCCTTCTCCCATATGTTGTCCGGGTCGCACCACTAAACCAGAACTAAACCAAAACTAAACTAAGTCTAAGCAAGGACTAAACCAGGTCTAAACTAGGACTCAGCCAGGTCTATACCAGGTCTAAATCAGGTCTAAAAACAGGTCTAAATACAGGTCTAAAGCAGGATTAAAGCAAGACTAAAACAGGATTTAGCAAGGACTTGACCATACCGCGTTGACTGTGCACCGCGCTGACTGTGCACCGCGCCTCCTCCAACCCTTTCTGGTCTGCGAAATATTGTCTGAAATAAAACCGGTCCATGGCGCAAAAAAGGTTGGGGGCCACTGGTATATTGTACACTGATGGACATATGTGTTTTTGCAGGCTCCAGAGATGTGCTCCACTGCAACATCACCGCTGAAGACCACACCGGAAGAACACCAAGCTGTCACTCCCCCAGGAAAAAACACCATAGCGGGCATACGTAGCCCTAGTTTTAGCCGACAGCAGAGTGTCCGAGGGGGGCGGCTTCTGCACGCTAACGCAGGTCTATATACGTTTTATACTAGTACACAGACAGAAACTTCAAGAACTGCGTAGGAAAAGGATGTTCTTGTTCTAAATGTTATGTGCTTTCCAGGTGGCCGCAGCCTGTCACGCTCGCTGCTGGGGTCCGACTCTGAAGGGGGGGTGTTTGCAGTGCCAACTACACTTCCTCCAAACAGCAGCCGCCACAATAGAATGTTTTCACCCAACAAGGAGGCGGAGCTAGCCCTAAAGCAGCAGCTGGACTCCATTAGTGTAAGAAAAAGAAAAATTACATCTTAAACAGTTAATCATTGAGATTTGAAATGATTTGTGTTAATTCTTTGCAGATGCAGTCAGATCTCTTCTTTTCAAGGCAGAGAAAACCTCGAAACAGGCAGCTTCGTAAACCGCTTGTGGTGCAGGTAAGACAACAAAGTCAGGAAAATGTCAAACTTCCTAAGCAGGTGTTGACATAGTGTTGTGTCCACAGAGAACGCTTCTGCCCCGGACGACAGGAGACACCTCACAACATGTCTGCTCTTTTTCAATCCTTTCAAACTCCTCTGCCACAGGTACATGCTACAGTAATATTTGGTTTGTCCTTTCAGTACCAAGTCATGCAAAACTGCCAATAATAAATGCAAAAACAAATGCAGTTAAGTACAGAATGTATTCATTTTAAAGGAGCAGTAGGTGATATTTTTAATATATTTGTTTTTCCCCAGCACAGATATATAGTACATATATTGTAAAAGCAATATTCTCTGTTGGCATGTTAGATGTTCGCATTATCCCAACAGCAAAACAACACTCTGGCCTCTGAAAACCTCTGAACGTTTTGAAACTTATGAACTAGTGTCAAGATTCTGCAACGATAATTAAAAACTAGGGTGGGACTTGATGAAAAAAATAATCTAAGTAATTACAGGCTTTGTAATTAATTAATCTAAATTAATCGTGTAACAATATTTGCCCCAAAAGCAACATTTATTTTATGCAAATGAATTTTAGTGGATGACTTCAAAAAAGCTTAAGTTTAAAAGTGTCTGTGTGTATTATTTGATGATGTCTGGAAAAATGTCTTGAAAAAATAAATTGAATTTCATTTCAAAATAGTAGACAAAGGTAAGGTCCCTATCTAAAACTGAAGAGACTAATGTTAAAGTGCCATTTTACTTTAAGTTGTTACCTTCTGAACGCAGTGTATGTCTTGCAAACTTTTTTCTACACAGTTTGCAATAAATGACGCCTTTCTCAATATTTCCATCGGGTAGTTTTTTTAATAGAAATTTACCGTCCAGCAAGCCCAGAGCGCTTTCATGCTCCGTTGTTGTAGTCAGAACTGTATGCGTCAGTATAATTGGCATACCACGACATGGTCCACTGACAAACGTGCAATATTTATTCATATTTTTAATGCATTATTTTCTTTGTAATTAATTAATCATAATTAATGTGTTAATGTCCCACCCCATTAAAAACACTCTTTCTTTAGACAATAGAATGTTATTTTCAACATTAAATTGTAATTTTTTTTTATATTACCATGTGACCTCACATCTGTGTAATCCCTCAGTCGTCGAGGAAGGACTGCCCTATGAATATAGTATTGAATAGTATCAGATTTTTGATACATTTGATTATGAACCTGTCATAAATAGATGCTCAAAAGGAAAGTGAGGGAGTTTGGACCACTGCAAACAGTTTAAAATGAACTGCTTTGAGTTTTTAAGATGATAAAAATTCAGTACACTGCCTTTAATTTACTTGGAACCAATCTGATGTTTTCCTCCCACAGGAACTGGTTCATTCCGCCCAATCCAGACGCGCCTTACTACTGCACCAAGGCCCTCTGTATCTAAATTCCCTGCAGCCACCAGCTCTTCAACAAATGCAACACTTTCTAGTATGATATGTTAATGTGTATTTTAAATTCATTCAAAATTTTATCCAACAGTTGATTATAGTTTTCTTTTTTCTTGCAAATTAACCATGAGTCTTGTTTATTTTAGGTGCTATTGACTTGGCAGCCAAATCCGCCGGCATCATTCCTGGCAGCTCTTGTCCAGACTTAAGTTCTGCCCCTGTTGAAACCAGCCCTCTCCTGAGCACTGCCCCTCTCATAGACGCTCAACCCGAGTCACTGCTTCTTCAGGACCACGCTCCAGAGGTCAGCTGTCTGCCAGAGCTTCAGTTTTTGGTTTTCTCAGCCTCTTAGGAACCTCTATAGACCCTCTAAAATGTCCTCAGAATGTTCAAGCTTCTGGAATGGAGCTGACTGGAGGTGAAATGAAGTAGACGTTAGGAGTAGTATATTGTCATAGATTAACGAACGCAAGATGCTAATAGGTATTCATAAGTATTTGCTACAAAAAATAAGCAGCTGTTTTCAATTTCCAGTGAATTGCCAGTTTCTTTTCCAAAATGTTGTCCCGAAATGCTATTTGAGCTTCACAAAAAGTATAATTACCTCAAGACCACGATTCTGCATTCTTCAAAAAGTGTAAAAAAATAACACAAAATACCATCAGAATTTTTTTTAAAAAACCAGGATCTGATATCACTGCCAAAACACTTATTATTTATTTATTTATTTATCTTTAATGAAATTCTTCTGTTAGCCCAACATTCCCAATTGAAATTACATTATGTTTAACTTTGCTTTTGCCTCCAGTTGCTTCTGTTCCAAAATTTAGAGTGTGTATTTGTTTACCAAAGGTCTAAACAAGTTGCTCTCTCTTTGTCAGAACGGACTGCCTCCTCCTTCTCCTCCTGGAGCTGGGGGTGGGGACTCACTCTTGTCCCCGCCCAGCGTTGCCTCTCTCCTGGACATCTCTCTCCCCGGTCCCCCTGAGGAAGCTCTGGCCACTGGAGAACCTCAAACGCACATCAGTGACTCCATCATTGAGCTCGCCATCAACTCTGCTCACTTTGGTAAGCACAATTCTGCAGTTTTGTTAGTATTTAACATACTGTTCTAGATGCTTTATTTGTAACTTTTCTGGAGGACGGTCTGCTACCTGCTTGTCGTATTAAACATAAAGTGGATCTATTATGCAAAATCAATTTTTCAAAGCTGTTGTCAAAGTTGTTTCTCCTCATCATTTACTCTTTTGATGTTGTATTTATAGTGATTTATGCATGTTTGAATAATCTTTATGCTCATCATTGTTCCATTCAACCTCTGATTTCACCACTCATGGTATACGGCCACTGCTCTATACTTAGTTCTCCAATTTAATTCTCTTTAATCTGCAATTATATGTAGGTTTCAGCAGCATTGCGTAGTCATTTTGGTACAAATGATAAATAATCTGCAGCTCACTAGTCTGATCTGCAGGTATCCAACTGAGTGGAGTGGCTCTTTATTGGGAGTCAGTGGACTTATTTCTGTCATTAAGTCGTTTTAGATCAATTATTGTCCAAATTCTAACATAGGCTCTTTCAGACTGCAAGGCTTAATTCTCAATTCAGATTTTTTTTGTGAAGTCATTCACATTTCCAATTAAATGCGACTTGTACATAATCTCCAGTGTGAACGCGCCAAAAGACTGGATGACACGACGATGTCACACGCAGCGAGCGTGCTCAGTGTTTACAGACGTTGCCTAAACGCTGGGCTTGTCTCCCAAAATATGATCCAGTTCTTCGCAAAATAGACAGGTTACACGTCCATGGCCGCTTCATTTGTTTGAGTCTTTATTTTTTGTTGACATTGGAGCCAGGACCGCCTGTTCGGCCATTTGTTTGCCAATCATTTCGAAAACCGCCAGGTTCCGATAAGACCCCTACAATTCCACCAAAATATGAATAAACTCACTAACCTCGCATTCCCTCCATTGACTAGATCCGAGCCTGACGTGTAGGTGGGATGAATGTGACCTGGCCGTTCAGACTGAAGTTGCATGTCAAAAGATCAGATATCTATCAGTGTTAGGAGCACATATCCAAGTGGCCTGGGTCGCATTTGAAAAAATAAGATCTTTCTTGTTCAGACTGTCATTAAAAGATCAGATACAGGAGCATAGGGGCGAAAAAATTGGATTTGGGTCACTTCAGGCTGCAGTCTGAACGTAGCCACAATGATCCACAGGTGAAATAGATTATATCTATATAGCACACAATCTGTATAGCACAATCTTCTGTAAAAATCTCTGGATACAATCAGTTAACACCACCCAGCCAAGTTACAGGTCTGATCTGTGGAGAAGTAATCCCACTCATAGTAAGAATCAAACTTAATAAAGTGCTTTTCATGCAAAAATGTAACACAAGGTATTAGACATCTGCGTTTGAATTAATGTAAATGGCTAAGGTTTAATGGCGTACAGTGGAATTGTTCAGGCAGAGCAATAACATTTCCATAGATGCGGTGGACCCCTCCTCAGAAAAGTGACATATTGCACCTTTAAATGTTAAATGAAACAAATGTAAGAAGTAGTGTGGATACCATCCGGCGCACAGACCCATCGTACTCCACAGACCTGCTGAACCGTGGCCTTTTTTTGTCCAGGGGAAGAGGCAACACTGTCCAAACTGACCAGCAGTGATGGGTCCAAGCTGCTGGCGCCCTCTCCCTCCGTCAGCCCATCCCGCACCTGGATGCCCTCCCCCAGCCATGACCCTCAGTGGTATCCCAGTGACTCGTCGGACTCCACGCTGGGATGTCTACTTTGTGAGTACTACAACACCCAGCATGTGGCACACAAGCAGGCCGTGTTACAGGTCAGATTTGTGGAGAGGTGACCCTGTTTACAGTAAGAGTGCAGTGTCTGTTAAGCAATAAAACACTATTGGATAAAAACTAAATAGAAGAATAGAAATCGAGGCAAAGGAAGAGACAAGCAGGTGTCGAACCTTCCAGAAACGTCTTCAAGTTTACTTTTATAGAACATGCTTAATATTTGCTTCTAAAATTGTCACTTTTTTTGTTGTTTTGTTTTATATATGCATTTATATATTGACCTAAATACTTTTGATTGATTGTTTAACCAAATGATGCTGGTACCCTCCTCTACCTTGAAGCATGAAGTCGGCATGCTGATAAAACTGGACCAAAGTCAAACCACTCTTCACTGTAGAATGAATTAAAAGCAGTTAATAATATGTATATTTTGGGTCTTAACCTTAAATTTTTTGACACAGTGACCTTTCCTCTGAGGTCTCCCAGGGAATCCCTCTAATCTGCCTTTGTGTCTTTACAGCCAGTATGGTCTCTCCTGATAAGGGAAGGAGAACCACCCTCACCCCATCCGGCCCCTCCAGCGGCACGGCTCTACTCGGCCCCAGCCTCCTGGACTGCAACTCCCACGATTCTTTTCAATCTCGCGGCCTTCCTGATGTAGCAGAAGTAAGTACTCCTAAAAGAACAGAAATTTGTAGTGCCTCGAAACATTCATTCAGGCCACCAATACATTTATGCTTGGGCTGAAAATCAACGAATCTCCTCATTAATTAGTTAATTATTTAGTTTTTCAGTCAGACCCACACATATGGTTGTCCGTTCAACATTTAGTCCTCTCTGTTCCTTGTGTCCAGCGTGAGCAATGAATAATGGTAATGCTTTACAGGCTTGTCAAAGTCTCAAAGCGTTACAGTGTAGTCATTATTCAAGACACAACAATAGAACTTGGTTCAAGCAGGAATCGATCCTCTGACCTTCGGGTTGAGGGACTACAGCCTATTCACTGTCGCTGCTCATAAAGTTACAGTGGACCATTCACAGAAGAGCCCAGAAGCAGCTTTCAGGCAGGGCTCTTCAAGCCTGTAGATGAGCGGCTCATCTAGCCTCTATGTTGCATTTAACATGGTAGCCGCGGGGTCTTAAAGGTCTTAAAAAGGTTTTAAATGTCATGTTCCTAAATTAAGGCCTTAAAAATTTTAGGTCTTATTTTTTTCACAAAGGTCTTAAATTTCATTAGCCTATTTTTTTGTACACTCAACCGGGCTGCAGTGCAATGTTAAATGGAGGGAGGAAAAAAACAACAACGTGAAGTCATGTAACGTGAATGAACGTCTAATTTGAAGTATGTGCAAACAATACTTTGGTTTCTGGCACCAGTGGCAAAGAGTAAACAATCAGTACAGTGGAGGAAGATGTTGGATGGATCATGGGGAAGTATGTAGGTTTAATCCACAGTGGCTCTATAGTACCATAGTTTGTTTGTCATTATAAGAATTGGATCTTATGTTTTTCGTCTGCGTAATGGGTGCGATGTTGGTCTTAATTTTCATTTAAAAAGGTCTTAAAAAGGTCTTTTAAAAAGTCATACATTTGGGGTAGTCAAACCTAGTCCCTGTTTAACAACCTGTTTAATCAGCACAGGAGTCGTTAAGCATAAAAACAAACAGCCAACCCAAACATTCCCTGTATAAAGAAGGGAGATTTGACCCATGCCTAATGGTAGGGAATGATGCCGTCTGTTGCAGGTGGACACTCAGCTGGAATGTATGATGAGCGAGAGCAGTGTCGACTACATCGCCCGATTCAACGACCTGGCCCAAGAACTGGCTGTGACCGAGCCCCCCACTCCTCCCCCATGAGGAGACCATGACCATGAACTGAAAATCCCATCATTCTCTGTGTGCTGCTTCGACTGTAGCACGCATCTTATTTGAAGGAACTTTACCCCCTTTAGAGCCACCCCTGTCCCGTCTGTAAGTGCAATAAGAGGACATAGTCGTGTTTAAGTGCGTTAGATTCACTGAACTGCTATTTATGGTGCAGAAATCTTTTTAATGATAAAATTACAAACCTCATGTACAGGAACAAGAATACTATGCCATATCAGAACATTTGTATTGTTTATTCATTTTTCACTCTGAAGTTTTAGTAGGTGGAACAGGTCGCCAAAATGTGCAGTTCCAATGGTCATACAGGTTTGGTTTAAAGGTGGACTGTGTAACTTTTTGGTGGATGCTTGTCTCCATGGCAGTATTACCGTAATTTCTGGACTATAAGGCGCTACTTTTTTCTCACATGTTGAACCCTGTGGCTAATAAAACGATGAGGGGAATATATGGACGGATTATTTGTTTGGCACATTGTCCATTCATATATACGGTGTCTGATTTGGCAACACAGTGGATACACGCAGTGCAGAAAACACATAGATCTAGGGTTCACATGAAGTTGCTACATTAGCGATATTGTCAGTGCACTCAAATAGTTTATCGCCGTGTGATAAAATAAGTTATGATGTTAAATTAACATTAGTGAGGGGGATACGTCTTACCCGTGTGCGGAAATGACAAGAAGAAACATCTCAAACTTTCAATAGCCAGACATCCACTCATACCTGATTGATAGAACTAGCCCCGCCCCCAAGAGAGTCTGAAATCTGCTGAAATCCTTGAAGACACTGACATGATACAGACAGGACAGAGGCTCTTTCTGCAGGAGACATGCAGAGCGTGTGGAGAGATGGTGGTGATGTGCCGAGGAAGATGCTCGTTTGATTGTGTTTTGAGGAGTTATTTTGTGCTTCATACACACGGCCTCCTCACGGAAAACACACAAAGAAATGCAGATGACGCAGCTTTTAAGTTAAAGGCGACTGATGTGGCTGTGGAAGAAGAAAACAGAAGCTGCTGCACGTGAGCTCGGCATCAATTAGTCAGTGGTGAGATTTTGGCGACGGCAGTGTGACGAACTGACTCAAAGCAAAAACACAACAAAAGCTTTCAGAGGCAATAAAAGCAGACGGCCCGAACTTGAAAGCGTTCTTGAAGATGTGAACACCCGTGGTTTATATTCAAATGCGGCCTATATATGTACAATTTTAATATTTTGTTAAAATTTTGTTGATGCGACTTATATTCAGGTGTGCTCAATAGTCCGGAAAAAACAGTATTGCTTTGACTAGAAGGTTCCACCATATCACATTTAACTCCTATCTCCACTGAGACAAACGGGTGATTTTGACAGGCCAAGTTACAGGTCAGATCTGTGGAGAGACGACCCTGCTCAGAGTAAGAATGCAACAAACCTGTAACTGAATGGATCTGGTTAACGCCAAACTGTGGAACATTCCAAGCAAAGCAGTACAATCCATGAAGACAAGCAAAAAAGTGACACAGTGCTCCTTTTAAACAGAATTTCTTCATAAATAATCATTTAGTTTTTTCAATGTCTTACAAATTTCAGCTACATACAAACTTCCCACAGTGCTTCATCAGATTTCAGCTACTTATTTACTACTGAAATGTATAATCAAACACTAAAGCCATATCCACACTCCTGGTTTAGGCAGTGGACTCTAATGAATCCATGTGATGTCATTCCGTATTCAAAACAGCCTTATTTGAATACACACACTACTGATTATATTTGCATCAGTAAGTTGTAATGACTGATTGTGCAGAGGTCGTCTCACGCCATACATTGGATTTTTAACAAGAGGTCAAAATTAAGCTCTTAAAATTCATTGTGTTTGAGTTTTGATACACCTGTTATATGTATGTACCATAAATAGTTGTCTTTGCAGTTTTTTTTTCCTGATGGAAGGATTTTTGTATATTTGCAATTCCAGTGTTCACGGCTTTTTGTATCATAATGTAAATTGTTATTGGGCCTATTTATTACATTTCTGGGAAAAAGTGTCTTCTGTCTGATAAGATAACTCCTTTAACAAAAGTAACAGTTTGGATTGTTCTGTTTATATAAAAAAAGCTTTTTATTCTGTGGATAAAGATGTTATAAAAGTGTCTTTGAAACTGTTGTCAATACTTGTGTCTTACATGGCTTAAAGATTTATTACACATTTAAATAAATAAAACAAAGACAAATTTATTCAAAAGCTAGTCCTGGATAAACCACAATGAAATGAAGTCCTCAAGATTTGACTATTACACAAACTACCATGCAAATGCAGGAAGATTTCCATTTTCTGGCTGGCACTAATTGTAATTCATTAACCCCGATGGCTCGTTACATATTTAATAGAGGTTAAGGATGGCCGTCTGGCATATTGTTATGTAATTTAGCATGGCCAGACATGTATAAAATAAAGATAAAACATTTACTAAGACACATTCAAAAGGATATGCTTACAGTAACATTCTTGTTGGTGAAATCACTGAGTTTCAGGTCATAACTGTCTTTCAACTTTCAGCCTTATCCAGTCTTTCAACTTTCAGTAACACCCATAGTTTAAAGATGATGAGGGCAGAATCTCTGATAGAATTTGCCTGTCAAAATGCAGATATTCCAGCTCAGACATGTCAAACTCAGGCCCACGATATAATTATATTTGACCTGTGAGATCATATCAGATATTTATTGGAGCCTGTCCTCCGGCTACAGATAGGCTCTAGAGACATTATTCATTTAAAATTTTGTTATTATATTATGCTTGTTCTGGATTCTGTGTTTAAGCAAAGCTATTACTAAACATTTATTTTAATGAGAAAAAGGTTTAACATTACATATCTTGAAAAAGAAAACATGCAGAATTTTTCAATAAATATTTAGTTTGGCCCACGACTTAGTCCCAGTTTTTAATTTCGGCCCTCTGTGAATTTGAGTTCGAAACTCGTTCTAGCTCATGATTCATATCTATAAATACTGGGCCGATCCACATGAAACAAAAACTGGCACAAAGTTTAATGCCTTCTCTATTAGCAAAAATAAACTATATTTACTATTGTAAACGTATGAATCCAATCCCAAACAAAAATGCAAATGGGTTCAATGTTGGCCTAGATAGATTTTCTAAAAATGCCCCACAGAGTTATTGAAATATTAAAGGGCCCATATTATTCAGTGTTATTTCATCTTCAGAAACAAACCCAGAGTTGTGTTTTGTTTCATTCACACATTGAATACAAACCCTGTTTATTTAGGCAGAGTTCATGCGATGCAGTTATACAGGAATAATTTGGATATTTTCAGCTCTGGAAGTGCCAGTCTAATAAACAAAAAGTAAAAGGTAGCTGTGGAACTTGAAAACTAGTGCTTCATGACATCACAAGGTGGAACAGAGCATTTTGAGCTTTAGAGATGTGGACAGACTGATATTAAAAGATTACTCAAACTTTTGAATGAAAAAACAGCGCTACAGGTATGTTGTTGAAGAGGTTACAACATTTTAACAACATTTCAAAAGGACTCTGCCCTCCAACTGAAATTATGACACCACACATCACATTAAATTGTGAACGCCATAACAAAAGCAGCAAAAAAATTTTTTACATCAAGCTCTAGGTAAATCTTACATTACACTTTAGCATTGTGTCCACTTTCACTCATTTTTGTGCGTACTCTTTTGTTCTTTGCGAGCTCGAGAGGACATGATTTTAAAGAAGAGGGCTGGCCACAGCGTCCGTAGATAAATGGCGAGAGTAGGGGTGGGTCCAGCCAGTATGACGTCTTTGCTTTTAAGACTGACCGCTCTCAACACAGCCTGTGCCACGTCTCTGGGCTCCCAACCTGCGGCAGTGGTCTTGTCCAACACTGAAACAGATTTGGCATAACAGCATCATCAGGCAAAAACAACATCATTGAGGCAAAAATACATAAATAAAATAAAATGTTAATGCCTATATGTTCCTTCTATTATTATTTTAATGGTACAGTGTCTGTGGTAAATCATAATAATGTTATGATAGTTTTACGTCAGTCAAGTGGCAGTTTGTAAAGAAAGGTTTGGGGAAAAAGATGAAAAAAAATATGATTAGTTCTAATAAAGAAAATCGATTTATTTTATTTGTCAGTTCCTGTACTCTGTCTTTGTATCATGAGCCAAAAATAAGGAGTTGTGCAAAGACAAAAGGCAGTAACTGTATGTTTTGTTTGTTATTTAGTTCATAAATATATTTTATTTTAAAATCCAACCTCTCACCTCCTTCTTTTTGACACTGGGTCTTAACACACTAAATAAAGAAACCTTTGTATTCAGTTATACTTAAATGATCTTAAATGTGGAAGTATTTTGTGTATTTATTCATACTGTACACACTATACTGCAAAGTCACTTGTCTGTCAAACTGTTTAACTGTGTAAGTGTCGCTGCATGATCCTGATCAGCACTAAACAGGAAATCAAAAGCTCTTCTATATCATTTAAAACAAACTCCATGATGACTAGAGCAATGGTGAGGTGTTTTTCTTATAATGGATGGAAGTCTGGTGAAAATCAAGCAAATAATAATGATGATGCCAGTTTCTGCCTTTTGTCTTTGCACGACTCCTTATTTTTGGCTCATTATACAAAGGCAGAGAACAGGAACTACCAAATAAGGGTCAATGGTCAGTTTTGATCTCAATATTTTCCGCATACAAATATTTCTTCATTATAGCAACTAGTTGTCAAATTTTTGGGGCCCTTGCTATTATACTTTTGTCTGGACAAAACAGAAACTTTGAAGTCATTTTTCTTAAGCTCTTTTGTCTTTTGTAGGGCAGTATTGTGCATATTAGACAAAGCTTTGGCACTTCTTTACATTACAGTTTCTAATTATCTGCTGCCCATAAACTAACCAGAAACAACGTAAAAATTATAAACTTGTCTAATATATATAAAATTAGGCAAAACAATCTTAAATATTATCATGTTAAAAGCAGTAACTCACCTCCATGTTTGGTCCCATCTCCCGTGACAGCATTGATTGATAAATTGGTCCTTATGTACCCAGGACTAATCACAGTAACAGGGATCCCATACTGGTCGATTTCAGCTCGTAGGCAGTCAAAGTAAGCCTGTGTGGCGTGCTTTGAGGCTGCATCTGGAGGATAAACATACTTATTAGATTACAATTGAATAAATACTAACATTTCAAACTCAATTTCGATACTAAAGGAAAGGCTTGATCCTCCATGCTGATTTCACTACTATAATGATAATAAAAAACACAATATATATATATATACACAGGGAAAGTATAGTGTAATTTTCTTACTTTAAGTTTCTTTAAAATTGTTAGGTGGTCTTAGATCTTAGGTCGTTCTGAGAGACCGTTCTAAAACTATTCAGAAAAGTTTGTCCAATTCAGTGGTGGAAGGTTACGAAGTACAAAAGTAATAGTACAATACTTGCGTAAAATCTTTAGGTATTTGTACTTTCAGTGGATACGTTTTACTTTCTACTTTCTACTCTACTACATTTTAGAGATGGACTAAAAAGTAAAAAATACTTTTCTTTATGTTGTGAAACATGCTGAAAAAGCTGAGATTATTTTTCGCACATCTAATTTGAGTTAATGTCCCAACTTTGAGCAAACCAAATATACATATACACAAAAACAGCTACAAAAAATAAGAAATCATTTGAATAATCTAAAGTCTGTTAAATTCTTTTTCAAAATCACTACATTTGATGTTTTAATTGTTCTAAAAATCTCTGCAAAATACTTTTACTTTTTATTCTTAAAGCACATTTTTAAACAGTTACTTCAACAGTTTTACTTAAGTAGATTTTTTTGATGTGATACTTTTACTTGAGTAACCTTTTGCCCCCTATATCTGTACTTTTAGTGAAGTGACAAAAGTGAGGACTTCATCCACCACTGGTCCTGCTTATTTATTTTTAGAATAGATAGTTATTCAAATGAGTTTCAATACCAGATTCACAATCGACAAGCATCTAGGTATCAACATTTTGGTAACTTTACAATTTAAAAAACATTCAGATGTGAATTAGATGAAACTTACAAGCAGATCTGTACGGAATGGCTATCTTGCCTTGAACACTGCTGATGACCACGATATGGCCACTGCGACGCTGGACCATCGAGGGCAGAAGAGCTGATAAAAGAATTCAGAAGTTATGTTAAAAAACAGAAAACTTTTTGCTAGAGATGTAACAATAACCAAAATATCATGATATATCGGCAAAAGTCTCACAATAATATCGTGGGTTGTCACAATATATCGAATCTAGGGGTGCAATGATATCCAAGTCTCACGATACGATATCGTGACATTATGAACCTCACGAGACAATATTTATTGCGATATTATGGGAAAGCTCACGATATGGTGGGGAAGTTCACGATTAGGGATGTAACAATATCCAAATCTCTCTGTATGATATTTTCACGATATACATCTCACAGTACGATATTTATTGCGATATTTTGTGGAGACTAAACAGCTAAAACTGTTAATATGTTATTTTTTCCTCTTAGAATGTCTTGACAAAGCTTAATCCAAAGAACTAAGACTTAAAAGTGTTTAGAACTGTTATTTCTTGTTATAGTCTACACTGAAATGGAGCAAAGGATCATGGTCTATGTAGTCTTTTTTTAGCCACTGCTGCACCTTAACTCTTAATATAAGCGAAGAGACTTGTATTTCAATATATTGTGATGGTCCACGATATTATTGTGAGAACTTTGACAATACGATATTTTGGTTATCGTTACATCCCTCATCCCGAATCTCAAGTCTCTTCGCTTAAATTCATTGTTGTGGTGCAGCAATAGCTAAAAGAAACAGAGGGAACCACATATACAATAATTCTTTACTCTGTTTCAGTCCAGTTTACATGATGAAATAATTTATTAAAAGCTTTTAAATCGCAACTGTTTGGTTTATGACAGAAACAAAGGCTTGTCAAGGCATTTTGAAGGAAAAAGTAGCATATTCACAATTTTGTTAGCCTGTACAAAATAAATAAATCGCAATAAATATCATACTGTGAGATGCATACCATGAAAATATTGTACAGAGAAATTTGGATATCATTACATCTCTACTTTTTACAGACTAGCCACTCTATTTAACCCACTACGGTTAAGTTAATGGTAAAGTAGATAATTTTTCTGAGTGGTAAATCAATTGTCCCCACTGACCTTGAGTGAGAGCGACCGGCCCGAAGTAATTAGTTTCCATGACATCCCGCTGAACAGATAGTTGAGTGTCCAGAATGTTGCCACGGTAGCTGATGCCGGCGTTGTTTATAAGAACGTCTACGTGTCCGTAACAGGCGAGGATCTCATCTGCGGCTCTGCCCACGGTGTTTGAGTCAGCTAAATCAAACACGACAATTTTGGGAGGGTGTGTGCTGAAAATAATGTAGACACAACATAATTAGAAACAGATGAGAAAGAAAATAATTAAAATGGCTTGAATTCAAAATATTCATCTTGTTTTGTGGTTTTATGTTTCATCTGTTTTTTAATTCAGTTTGTCACTTAACATTTTTAAACTTTATGGGATTTCTGACTGGTTTCATTTTTAGTTTAGAATTTCACTAAAACATCTGTCAGCTTAGTAGTAATTTTTCACTTAAATGGTCAATTAAAAAGATTTACAAAAAAATAAAATCATCATTTTATCCCATCATTTTGCTTGAAACCATTAAAAAATATTGAAACTAGGCCTGGGCAATATGACAAAATAATTTCACACATCACATTTTTCCCTCATTAAGATCGATCAGAATATTTAATCAGTTTATTGTGTTCTTAACAATACTATTTGAATTCCTTGACTATAAACAAGGCAGACCACATGCTCTTACAGATAAACTAAAGCCAGAAAGGAATAATAAAAGAAAAAAAAATGGAAATCACAATTCAAATTCTAAATTCAAGTGATTCATGCAAGTCTTTTGTTTTGGCAGTGCACAAACTCATCACCTTCATCTGCTTTTGTGGTGAGCTGGATGTCAGTTCCTGTATAACCTGCTGCAAACGGGACGCATCTCTCCCACACAACACAAGACATGCACCTGCAGAATGAAACACCTGTGCACATTCTGTAAACGAAAACAGAATCATTATTATAACATTAGATATACTGTAGGTTGTTTAGATTCTCCTAAATTTGGGTGTGTTTTGTTTAACCTTTTCCTAGCCCTGAACTGGCGCCAGTGATGACCACCACAGCATCTTGGAGAGAAGTCCCAGATCTGAGGCGCAGAATTAAGCGGTAGAGCAGCAGTAATCCAACGCTAGCACAAAATATATGAAATGTTCTTCCTCCAACTCCAGATACAAGGTCCATGGTGATACCCACAAGCAACCTGTAAGAAAAAATAGATATAATTTATTAATAGCTACAGAACAGGCCTGTCACAATAAAGATGATAATCCTGGTACTGCATCTTGAAATACATATTAAGTATTTCCCGCTTATACTGAGGCTATGGTGACACAAGCTATCCATATTTAAATCATTTTATTCAATACAATTTTTGAGCATATGATAATGGAGCTTTTAAATGTCCTGCAATGGGGAAATTCCAGTGTTGCGAAATAAAGCTTAATAATAGCAAGAGAGAGAAACGCTATTTATTGCCTCTCATAATTAAAAATACTGATTACAGATTAGTTCATGTTATATGTTTATGTTTGTTCAATACCAGCAGCATATATCATTGTGCTACCGATATTTTGTTCAGCTTGTTTTTAGACTATGGTCACCTTTATCAAAGCATTATGAATAGGCAAAATTAAGGCGAGATTTCTGCACCAACTATAGGATACATAAAAGTTTCGAACATGTTTTAATACTTGGACTATAAAGTTGCAGTTCCATACATATTAATATTTGTATTGTAGGCTATAAAATAAATCTATAGAACGAAACCCCAGCAAATAGCAATAGTGTGAAAGGCCGACAAAGTAAAATGTGTGTACAATAATGATATGTACTCTTCATTTAAACTACTAATGAAACTATTTGTATTTACAGAAGAGCCTCCAAGATGCATACTGCTATTTTTGCACGAGTTTCTAACTTTGCTGTAAACAGGTTTATTGTTTAACGGTGAATACTTTCAACAGGAGACATTTAATTTGTTCATGTATTGCACAAAATTCAATAAAATAACTACTTACCAGTGAAATGGAAAAATAAACGTGCCCGCTTCCGTGTCGCCGGGTTCCAAGCGGAAACACGTGATCCCATGTTTGGCTAAGGATTATGGGAAATGTAGTCCGTCTGCACTCAAGCTGTCGACGATACTTTAGCATGTTTTTTAGTCTAGTTCATAAAATATACTTAATATATTGTAGTTTTGAGGAAATATGAACTAGAGGTTTTACATTTTGGCCTATTTCTGACGTGTGAACTGGTGTGTAACTTTTAGGACAAAAGCTCTGCGACCTGCTTTTCTCCATGGAGATGTTTTTATTTTACCTGGAATGTTCCACAGTATGGCCTATTCACTGTAAGAATGCATGTTTTCTTTTTCAGGTATACTTCAGCAATAAAGCTACTTGTAAATGACTAAATCCAATGCTGTGGATCATTTCACTCAAACAATAACATCTTCATGAAGACAAGCAGGTGGTTTATCCCTAGACATATAATCCATGTGTTTATTCTACTAGAAAAGTTACATAGTGCACATTTAAGTAGCCAAGTAGAATTATATGCCATGTCTGCTGCAAATGTCTCCCAGAACTTTGAAGGATCAGCACCAGCATCAGCAGGTCATCTGACTGCTAATGGGACTGCGTGGGTCTCAAATCAGCAAAGTGCACATGTTGTCCAATTAGGATTTATCTAAAAAGACCCCATCCTGAACAAGTTCATTTTGGCGCATATCCATGGAAACGTTGCATTACAATATTAGTGCATAATTGGATAGTTACTCAGTTTTTCATTTGTTGGACATTTAAATCATTAATAATAGGTTTAACTAAAAAGTTTTGCTTTCCTGGAATGTTCAGTGAAAAATGATACTGACTAAGCAGCATATGAACATTTGTTGATGTCTGCAAAAATATTTATGTGAACACATCAGATTGTGAGTTTGCTAAAATACCACCAGGAAGTTGACAAACAAAATTTATTTCTGATACAGGGATGGACCTTTGGAAGGACTTCCCAAAAAGTCCTTTCTGCAAAACATATAATCCACTTCCTAAATGCCTGATGGAATGAAACAAAATCCAACTTCCAGTTTTATAATGGACATTTACATAATGCACTTGTACAATCTCATGTTGGAATATCCTGGTCCATCATAAATTGATATAATACTAAAACATGTTGATACCAATCAAATTCCCAGTTTAAAGACTGGCTTATGCTAATGTAATATACATTATGTACCTAAAGAAGCGTGCACTGCAACTTTCCAAGTTTATAGTGTTTCAAAAGAGGACAAAAGCCACATCATTGTCACACAAAGTCTTACTCTTTTGAACAAGAAAAATCTACATGAACAAGACACATTCACAAAAAAGCTGCTTCTATTTGCATAAGCTTTTTTGGACACCATGTAGAATCCATTTATGAAAAAGTCAAATAAAATACAGAAATGTGAGCTTGAAATATCCTAAAGTTTAATGAGAGGGTGATGTTCTGATCAGAAAAAGGGGTACAGTAAAACTACAAGGCTGAAGACAGACAAACGACTCCATACTGGAAACATTTGGGTCCATAAAAGTATGGGGACTCTGCGGAGAGGCTATAGTGGGAAACTGGTGGAGAGGAGGGGAGTAGGTGCGGTTTTTACACAGAGAAGTGTGATACAGCCATCACACATACGTAGAGGAAACAAAAAGGAACAAAACAATTCCTTCTAGTTTTAACTATATCCCCCAGAACAAAGTTTGAAATAGATGCAACCACAACATGTGGAGCAACCTGCTGGATTTGACCACAACATAATGAATCTTGCTTAGATAACTTCGGTTCTTACTTAAACCCACTTAGGAGGGCACCCATCACTCATACCGCATAGAGTTCATAGATCTTCTTGGCACAATATGCCAGGGCAGCCAGTGCTATCGTATTATGAAGTCTCTTTCTGTGGATGTCATCCCTGCGTACCAACACCACCGGTGTGGAGGAGGTGAGCGTATGCAGGGGCAGCCGGGAGAGTTTTTGGCTGTCATATTCCACTTGGTACTTGCAGCAGGGGTCAAACTGCCACGAAATCCCGTAGAGAGCAGCGCAGGCCACACTGAGCGCCCCGGCAGGCAACGCCACGTAGCGCGAATATTCAATGGGCAGTGAAAGAGGTGTCAAGAGGCAAGCAGCACCTGACAACACTGCCGTTTTGTGCAGGCAGTTACCCACAGCGATCCAGCGAGCGGTCTCATCGCCAATGCGCGTGGGCTCGATAACAATGTATTTATACTGGGCTTCCAATGCCTGTTCTAGCTCGTACTCAAACTGGTCTTGTGCGTTCTCCCCATTGTAGATCTCATGTACAATGTAGCAGTCTGTGGCCGCCATCACTCCTCTGTGTACAGACAAGACAGATAAGGGTGAAAAATGCTTATATACAATCCAAAATCTTTTAAGCAGTGCAGGAAATATTCAGTGATTGAGCAACATAACAACAAGTACTACTCAGTCAAACCATAAGAGGAGTTATATTCTATTCGTTTAGACTTCCAGAGTGAATAATTCGTCATTTAGTTTGACTTTGCAAACTAAATGCTCTCATGCATGATTGATAATTCCAAGCTCGTATATGAAAACACTTGGGCCTTTTTTGAGCAGCTTCAGACACTGTCAAAAGTCCAAAACGAACACGATTAAGACTTAGGGATCATCGTGACTAGACATACCGAGGACGAGGACATTTTATTAAACACACACGGTTAGATAACGCCAGATCAGCGTTTATTGGTGTTAAGTTGGGGTTGCTTTCTCGGGTAAAGGACGTTCACTAACATCGGGCCAAAAAAGGAGAAGAAAAAACATTAGGAGCAATTTCAAGTCATAAACTCAACCCTCTGATTTTATAATTGCAATCGACGGCAGAACACACTTAAAACTACGCGGATCTAGTTTATTTAAGTTTTTCTGGAGGTGGGAAAAACCAAAACATCACATGAGCTAGTGTTTCCTTGCTAATGCTAGTTAGCTGTGCACGACTCCAGCTAACGTGAGCTAACTATGGCACGAAAATGAAGTTGCCAGCTTGACTAATAACTCGATTGTCCTAACACCAAACATGTATTGCATCTGCAGAACAGTGACAAGTATAAAACAAAAAATGGAGATAAAATGTTTTAGTTTTAGCGACATTATGTGGTGTAACTGACCTCTCCCTGCTTACTGGGACACCGCGCCTCCTTCCCAGCGACGCCATGTTGGAGATGCAACACTGATTGCAGCTCAAGCAAAATAGCGCTATGACTTATGGGTGATGTAGTCTAGTAAACGGACAGACACACGCGCTGAAAGCTACTTTTCACTACAATTCCCACCAAGGAGAGGACGCGTGCCTTTACTTTATGTTGAAGTTGTAGGTCAGCTCCGTGCAGTACAGGTTTTCATATATGAACGGGATGTTCTTTTTCCATATGTGCATACGTCCTTCATTTGTTCTCAAACTAAAGATTATTAAGAGGCGGAATCTGCTTAGTGCAAATATCTACATTACTGAACAAATGCAACATAATTACTTTGCCAACCAATGCAACTTTGAAGTTGTATTTAAGCCTAATATAGCGACGCAGGTGTGTTATCTTGTATTTGGGAACTGGATAAGTTCTTATGGAGGAAAAAATGGTAATTGATCTTACCCATGTTGCCCCCTCGAGTGCTCTGGCCCCGTACCCCGCTAAGTACCCGAAAATGTCCACGTGTTGTAACCTGATGCGCTCTGAAGCCTCAGGCAGCTCAGCACTTGTGCAAAATGTGATTTTAAACAGTAATAGGTCGACATACATTTAGATGTAAAGCACCTGCTTTTATGTGATCTGATAATTGATTAAATGAATCCACTATGAAAGCGACTGTTCGTCTAACAGCCAGCTGGTGGCACTAGAGGATAAATCAAGTTGACACATTTAACCAAATAAACCCAGAAACTTTGAATATATTTTGTTTATTAACAACAAAAAGTGTGGTCTCAAGCACAAACATTGTAACAAGAAAATTAAAAAGAAAGACATGCTTATATCCCCACCAGAAAAACAAAAACACAAACATGTTTTCCACTTCAGAGTGGACTGACCTGAGGTCTTCTCTTTAACTCAGAGATTGTCATTAGCAGAAACCCCTGAAAGAGCCACATAAAGGGACAAACACAACAGTATGGGCAGGTATTTCTGCAGTCACGGTTTGCAGCAATCACTGACCTCATAAAAGATATACAGAAAAAAGAATGTTTGAAAAAACATAGTAATGCCTGAACAGCTGGCTTGAGATCGAATGATTGTCTTCTGACTATACGAGCCCTAATCTTACAAAAGTGAAGAACTGTGATGACAGACGGTGACATCTGCATACTATTGATGTCAGTTTTGGTCTTTGGTTAGAGTTACTAAAGTCCTTGTTGAGAATGAATTAGTGAGTTAGAATAATATTTCATGAGTCCACATAAGATAAAAATATTGTTAATAACATTTTGCTACAGTTAAATCAGTTAAAACATATTTAAATTTTGCAAAGAGACAACCCAACTTATAAAATTAGCACATCATATTATGTTTTATTACATGTCATTCTGTATTTCTGGGGAATTTTCTGAGAATTTATTTGATGTAGATGCAGATGCCATTTTGATTTCAGTGAATAGACCACTGTTTGTCCCTGAATGACCATGGATCACCAAACCAGTGGTTTTGCTTTTTTGTCAGCCATTGACGCTGAATATCTTGCCTGAGCTTGCGTTGGTTTAACCTTCCATGCTTCCACTGAACTTCCGGCATCCTGATGTGTGTTTCTCTGTATGTTGCTGACATACCGACCATTTGACCCTGCACTCATCACAGCAGATTCACCATGAGAACACGTCTCAGGATAAACCCAATGTCTTGTTATCGCAGACTTGAAGAGCCTTTGCTGTCACTCCAAAGCATGAGAGGAAGTTTCTTCCCTCGGAGTCATTCCCTGTGCGTCTCTCATATTCAAGCATCATTGGTAAATGTGTTCAAAGTACTGAGGCTGTGGGTTTTCTTTCACATACTTCTGAATGTACCAGCAAGTCAAGTGGGCTTTTAGATCCTCCTCCACGACAAAATCCATAGCTGCCTATAATTACAGATACATTTTAGTTGTTAGGTTATTATTGTTGTTATGTCTCATGTAAAAAAAAAAAAAACAAAAAAAAAAACAACTATTACACAATTATACAAACAAATGATCAATGACAAGTATTGGTGAAATTTCACCTTAGCCAAGTGTTTTGCGATTCCTCTTCCCCGATAAGCATCTGGGACTTCAGTGTGTTGCAAGTCGACTGTTTTCTTCCCAACATATTCATACAGAAGAACTGCTCTGTCATGAGATCCTATCAACATACAAATATTAGTTTAATTTAAGTTTAGCTTCATAACTGAATGAATAGACACTTATCCAAATAATTACCCACATAAACCCCCAATGGTAAATTTTAAGTTTAAAACACACATGAGAACATGTTATGTTTGCTAATGATTTCATAACAACAGCAGCCTAAATCAAATGGACTGTTGTCTATTGTCTATTTGCTGAGAATGCACATTTCGTCTTGGCAAAACTTTTTTAAGCAGCTTTTCTGTACTTTATCTAAACAAAAAGACAATGTATGCCTCTCTTTACTGCTGGCAGGAAGCAAATTGGTCAAAAATAGAGACACCTGGAACATTTCTTGTAAAAAAAAAAAAAAAAAAACCTGGGACAAATCACTGGTTTTGGATGTATCTGCTGGGACAGGGGACACAGGGGTCAAAGCTGGGACTGTCCCGAGTAAATAGGGACGTGTGGTCACCCTAGTCACTAATAAGTTTGCACACTAGCCAGGAAGGAAGTTGCCTAGAGCCATTTTATGTAAGACCAAACTTTTTAAAATAACATTAAAATGAACTGTCATTTTGATTACTGAAAAGAAAAGTAATTAGAAACGATCCAAACCGTCTACAGAGTTAGGATGAGAGTTATTTAGCCTACACAATCCCGACCATTGTGTTAGCATGTGTTAGTTAGCATGTCCCTAGCTAATGTTTATGTTTGGATAGATTTACCGTTCAGTCTTATTACAAACTGTCGCCGCTTTTTATCGTGCTCTACTCGGATCTGGGAGTTGTTGGCGTCTACTGCACTAGTCTGCGCCGCCTGGGCCATCGTAGGTCGCCGGCTGTCGACGTTTTTGTGCAGGGGATGTGGTGGAGAAGAGCAGAAATGGCTAACACGAAAATGATGAGCACGAGCAGCAGGCCGGAGCAAAACAAGGAATCAGCTGTGAGATCACGTGACCCACCGGCCAGCCAATCAGAGCACGCATCTTTAGCTAGTGCGTTTGTGAACGTAAGTCTAAATATAAAATAAAAATAAAAATAGTAATAGAAAAACATTATAAGAAATCCTTGTGAATGTAGGCCTAAAAATAAAATAAAAATAGTAATAGAAAAAAATGTAAACAAAATTGCAACCTGAGCTAAAAGTGTCGTCTTCATAATGCATTAATTATTATAAGAAAATCCTAGTGAAAAAAAAAAAAAAAAAAATAGTAATAGAAAAAAATGTGAAAAAAAGCAACCTGAGCTGAAAGTGTTGCCTTCATAATGCTTTAAACGTTGTAAGAAAATCCTTGTGAATGCAGGCCTAAAAATAAAGTAAAAATAGTAATAGAAAAATGTAAACATGATAAGAAAATCCTGGTGAGAAAAAATAAAAATAGTAATAGAAAAAATGTGAACAAAAAGAGTAACCTGAGCTAAAAGTGTTGGCCTCAAAATGCATCAAACTTTATTTAAAAAAAAAATAAAAATCCTAGTGAGAATTGTATTTATTTATGTGTATTTATGTATTTATTAGACTTAGACCAACTTTATTGATCCACAAGGGAAATTATTTGGACACAGTAGCTCACACATCACAATATAATGTAATAACAAAGAGTAGAAAAATACATAAATGGTAATAATAAATTCTAAATAAGTAGCAAAAAAGATAGCGAGAGCCAGGTATGAAATAAGACATAATTATTTATATAAGTGTACATATATAAGTCAAAATAAAATAGAAAAAAATAATAAAATATAAAATCTCAGCTATATACAAGAGGTCATAGGAAGAGAGTGCAACAATGATATGACTGACTGGACAGAGGGTTATCCATTGCATTAGGGTGAGTTATTGTTATTTAATTAATATTTATTTTTACCCCCTTTGTCAAAATTCTTTGCTTTTCTTCTTTCTTTCCCACAAAAAAAGCAACTTGAGCTAAAAGTATTGTTTTCATAATGCATTAAACATAAGAAAATCCTAGTGAGAATTGCATTTATTTATGTGTATTCATGTATTTATTTAATTAAGCAATATTTATTTTTTTTTACCTACTTTTTCAAAATTCTTTCCTTTTCTTCTTTCCTTCCCAAGAGGACAAATGGTATGGTCACCCGAGTCCACAGTTGTTAGATACACAGTGACATCCCACTGTCTGTAGTCCAATAATACAGTCAGTGGTAAACTAGAAATTAATTTAGACTTAGACAAACTTTATTTTATTTTTTTTAAATTATAATTTAAAAAAAAAAAAAAAAAAAAAAAAAAAAGGGAAGGAAGAGAGACAAAAAGAACTTCAATTATAAATTGGCCGCAGTGTATCAATGTTCGGGAGCCTAGCGGTGTATTTATGTTGCACTATCACATTTATATTGTTTTGACTTTGTGTTGGTGTGGGTGGTTGGGGGGAAATGGGGGGGCTTTTTTGTATTTGTTGTGGTGTTGTGGTTGTTGCTTTATGTTTTTGTTTTTATGTTGAATATTGCAATTGTTAAACGTTGATGTTTGTTTTGTTTTTTTTGAATGTTATGTTCTGCTGTCTTTAATAAAAAAAATAAAATAAAAAAAACTTTATTTTTCCCCAAGGGAAATTACATGGACACGGTATCTTACACATCATAATATAATATAATAATATAATAAGAAAGAGAAGAAATATAAATAGTAATAGTAAATTATAAGTAGCAAAAATATTAAAAGACTGGTGTCAGATAAATGTATGTTTACAAGTAAAAGTAAAATAAAAAAAAAATAAATTAATAAAATACATCTCAGCCACAACTCTTTGTTTACTAAATATGTATTTAAAAAATCCATACACTATATTTGGTTTAATTTTCTCTAACATCTAGAAAATAAAAGCATAAAAGTGTGTAAAATGTGATTGTCAAGTTTGCTAAAATGACTGGTAATCGTAATCCTGTTAAGCGGTCGCCTAATCCCACCAAACACTAATGGACTGTGCCACCTTGTTCTGGATTATGTGTGTGTGAGTGGATATGTCTGAGTTTATGGGTGCTACTTTGGTCCATGGGCTACTTTACAGACGCTTTTTGTGCTTTTACTGATAAGCGACTTGAATGTTTTACATATTGAAATTATTTCTACCTGGGACTGGCAAAGATGATGTCCAGAACACCAAGGTAAGTTTGAAATAATTGGCCTTTTTAGTTTACGCTTCAAGGCTCTCTCTCTGAAGTGAGAAACATGTTCTATTTAATTACAAATGTTTTATTAAATTGTTCTATTAAATTACAAATATGTTAGAAAGTTTAAAGCATAATTTGAATCATTTTAATTTTGAATGGAAGTTTGTGAAATGAATTTCTATGCATCTGTTTGTACAGGTGGCAGGACACTTTAGTAAACTCAAAGGCTAATAAGGTAATGCAGAAAAAGATGGGAAAGGTAAGTACTGTACTGACCTAAATAGTTTGATATGTGTTTTTAAAATGATCTGTAAAAGATCATTTTGAGACTAAAATCAACTTAGTGTATAAATAGCTATACATTCTTCCACAGCAGAATGGGCCATTAAGCATTATGATGGCAATTCATGAGTTTCAGCTTTGTTATATGCAACATATTGAGGACTTTTTCCCATTAAAAAGATACAGTAATTTGTTAATCATTATGGAAACTGTCCAAATGTTTTATCATTCTGAAACCCACAGATAGAATGCATTCCAGTACATAAAAATAAAATGATCTTCATGCTAAATCTGGCTTAAAGTGATGATTTGGTCTCTACCCAGAGACGGTGACTCTAAAACTGTCTGATTTATGATTGTATTAATGGCCTATAAGATCAAGTCAGCGCAGTTAAACCCGTACAAGTCGCTAACTCAGGACTCCTGACATTGATTTCTCAGGCTTTTGGTCCGACCACAGATTGATTGCCTCTGCAGAAGAAGCCCAGAATTGTGGCACGGTGTCTCTCCGATGCTCAAGTTTAATTACTCTTTAGCTAATGCGCATTTTAAGATCTGTCTGCGGCCGGGATCACACAGCCGGTCAGATGGTGCTAAGTGAATTAAGGGATTGGCTCGGAGTTTAAACGTGGCCAGGGAATAGTATGGTTTTTAGAGTGGTGAATTTATGAAAATCTTAACCTTCTTCTTTTGAAGGATTCAAAGTTTTCAAGTGGGAAACAGAGCAGCAGCACCAGAAGTGGTGGGACTGTTGTTGGAAGGAGCCACAGTTTGGGCCCTAGGGACTTGAGTTCTGGAGGTAAAGGTGGAGCTGGTAAACAGGAGCAGAGCCATGCGGGACTTAAGGACACGAGGACAGCGTCACGATCGTCCAAGCCGGGCATCCGTCTCTCCAGCAGCCGGAGCTTCTCATCCCTCCACAACTCCTCCTTCCCAGCTGTGCCTTTCATACGAAGCAGCCGCTCACTAAACAGACTGGACCAGAGAGGGAGAGATGGTAATAATCCTTGACACATTGGTGATTATATATCTACTTAATTATTTAACATTCTTACTTATGTTATTGAAGAAAAAACCCTGGATTTCAGAAAGTGTTCGACTTCACTTGAGGCATTAAGGTTTGTCACTCAAAATACTCATATTACAGAGTTTTAATCCACGCTTTTAAAGATTGCTTTCTGTTACTTGCTTGACTGTAGGGATACTAAAGATTTTCCATTAATGAAAACTGGGGATATGAAAACCAGCCTTTCCGATCAGACAATAGCATCCTCTTCTGTGGCTGCATGTCACCAGCAAAGCAACAAAGTCAAGAAACAGGTAATTTATTGTAATGTGAGCGTGGACACAGTTGGAATTGGACTTGTTCTATTCAGTATATTGATGTTACAACTGTACAACATGAAATTGTGCTACTATTAGATGCTTACAAACTTATTCAATCTCAATTTGAGTTGGTGCAATTAGGGAAAGTCCAATATATACAGGACTTATAGAAAAATCTGAGTGTACTGTAGTGAGATCTCTACAAACATTGCATTAGTTTGTCAATTTCAGTCTCGCTCTGGGAGGTGTTTATAATACCAGATCTTTGGCATTTTTTTGTCCTAACAACATGAAAATTGGCACTGCACACACATCCGATTACAATGACACCTTTCGAAAATTGAGACTGGTCGGATGAGCCGTTCAAGAGTTATGCATGGAACAGTCAAACAGACAAACTTGAATTTATGAATAGATCCATTTTTAACAGAATCTTACCTTTTAAACATTTGTCATCCTAAAAATCAATTTGATATATCTCAATACATGAAACATTATTTAAGTGAACTTGAATTGTATTAATAATATAAAGGAATAACTGTTAAGAATGCATGCTTTTTAGACTTAAAGAATTGTCAGCCTATACCTGGAAAAAGGCTGCAAAGTTGTCACTGAATAGCATATTTATGGATATATCATACAGGGTCTAGTTGAAAAAAATTATGACAAAGAAGCCTCATTTGCTAATAACTGTTACAGAATGTGTGATGAACCTGCTTTTTTGTGTAAACTGAAAAAAAAGTAATGTTTTTACACAGACAAGAGATGGTGTGTACACTCTCTGTGCAATGACCTCTGGACTGAGACGCAACTGGGTCCAAGCTGTGTTGAGAAACGTAAGACCCAGTGCTACTCCTGCAATTAAGTAAGTACATCAACTATAAACATAAGTCAAGTGTCACTATACCGCTTAAGTCTTGTGCTCCTAATTTCATCTCAAGAGCAGAGCAACGAGGCCGACAGCAGCGTTCCAAATCTTTAGACAAAAAATATGATGGATATACAGAAGATATTAGAGATAAAACCCATCAAAATTCTCTTGAACGCTTAAAAGAACACAAACAAGTGAAGCAGTCCAATGCAGATTCAACTACCAACCACACAGTCCCTGCATCAATACTGCCCCCTCCCATCTCTCCATCCATCTCATCTGCTGCACCTCCTATCAGTCCTCCTCGTGACCAAGAAAAGACCCAACTCTCTTCAGATGATCTTGTTCATAATACAGAGAATGGTAAGTGGTTCAATTTCAGCTGACCGAAGACAGGGGGGGGGCATTTTGTAAGCGTTTTTTCTTGCTTCTTGATCAGGGATTCCCAATGATGCAAGTTTGAATGGGGATTTAAATGCTCTGCTGAAGCACAACACTGAAACAGCAACAGCATCAGAAGAAGATGGTCAGCAGTCGATAAATAACTGCTCCTCGCTGTGTGCACAAGAGGAAAACAGTGGAAAACACACTGGACAGCTGGTCAAGGAGGTAAGACTATGTTTTTAACAAAGAAGTGATGAATGTTAGTAATAATTTGTATTACATTACACGACTACACTATGGCACATGTGAAATGTAAAATGTGTAATCTGGTTGAGGGCAACAATATAGAGACAAGCAGGTGGCAGACCTTAGTGCATATACACTACCAGTCAAAAGTTTTAGAACACCCTAATTTGTCCAGTTATTTATCGCAATTCAAGTTGTGCAAGTCCAACGAAGAGGTTGAAATGGTACAAAGGTAAGTACTGAGCAGCCAGAGATTACAAAAAGATAAAAGATAACAAAACACAAGTCCAAGCTCTGCCAAAACGACCTCAGGAAAAAGAACAAGATGGTAAAGCTTGAAAACATGAAGTGGCCAGCACAGTCTCCAGAAATAAACCCCATCAAGCTGGGACAGACTAGCCAGTTTAATTACAGATGGTAGCTTTAAATGGGTTCTTTTAAATTTAGATAACCTTACAAATAAAATTTTTTGGAGCCTTATGTTATTATGCCTGAAAAATATTATTCCTAAATTTTATATGGACTCCATAAAACTTTTTTTTTTTTTTTTTTTTTTTTACAGCTGGAGAAAACCCAAAAAGAACTCTCTCGACTTCTGCAAATTAACAAGGCTCTACAAGATGAACTTCAGCAAGAAAAAGAGAGACACTTAAATGAGATGAGTTTTGGACAGGTATGCCATTCATTAATTATGTAGATACACCTGACATATATTATTTTATATTATGACACCTAATCCTATTCCTTCCTGCAGAGTGATAGTATATCCACTGCTGCCTCTTCTTTGAACCAAGAGGCTTTACATCATCTACAGAAGACCAACCAGGACCTCCGCGCAGAGCTGGAGGCCCAGAGGCGCTGTCAGGAGGAAGCCAGGGAGGACGAACTCTGCAGACGGGTGGACCTCTTGGCACAGAAGGCACATCTACTAGTCACTGGCGACGCAACTGCTCTAGCTCAAACCCAGTTGGAGCTGGATAGTTGGCACTTCAAGGAAAAAAAGCTTGAATTGGAACAAATCATAGCATCATTGAAATCAGAACTACAGTCCAGCGAAGAGAAGAGGGTCGAAGCCGAGACCCGTTTAGCAGAAGTCCAGCAGGAAATGCAAGGTTTGAGCCAGCTACAACAGGAAGCCAACCAGTTACGTGAAAATTACCATGAGGTTACAACTCAACTCCGCGCATATGAAGACACCCAAGCCCAAAAAGAGGCGCGACTCGAGCAGCACCTCATGCTTCTCCAAGCAAGTCAAGAACGAGAACGCAGAAGTCTAGCTGCTAGTCTCGCCCAAGCTGAGAGAAGATCGCAGGACCTTCAAGAACAGCTGAGACAGGCAGAGGAAGAGGTGGAGAATCTGAACAAGTCTCAAGAATGGACAAAAGAGATACAAGAAGCCCAGAAGCAACTTCAGGAGGAGTTACAACAAACCGTATCTGCCTTGGAGGAGCTCCAAGAGGAAAAGGACCACCTGGAACAAGAATGTCAGAAACTGCAGAGCCAGGTACATGAGCTGACCGGAGAAGTGAGCCGACTGCAGGACCGCCTGAAAAAGGATGAAACACAGTTCTACAACCTGGAACATTCTTACGAGAGAGTGTGTGAGGACTTGCAGGTTGCAATGGGGAAGGTACGCCAATGGGAGACAGACACCCAAGAGATGAGGGAAGGTTACGAACGACAGCTTGACCAAAAAGAGCAAGAGCTGATTGAAATACTTCTGAAGATGGAAGTGTTGGGGAACAGCTTGGAAGAAACTGAAATGAGATTAAATGAGGAGCTAAAAAACAAAGAGAAAGAGAAAAAACTGTTTGTAGACAATGCAGAAAATCTTAATGTTGATGGTTCCATGAAGTTGCGTTCTAATGACCAGAGTCCTGTTCCGGATGGAGAAGATCCAGAAAGGTTCGCATCCGCCATCCAGGTCCTCGAAACCAAGCTATACGTAACTGAGGAGAAGCTCAAGGACATTACGCAGAGACTAGAGGATTACCAGAGCCACGCAAGCTGCCAAGATCCTCTCCTCTGCTCCCAGCTCACCCAAACTCGTGCAAATGCTCAACATCTAGGCCTTTTGCTGCACACTCAAGCAAAGAACAACCAGCGCTTTGCCCAACAAATGGAGAACCGCTGTCGGATGTTGGTTGGAAGGTTCCAGGTAGCGCTAAATATCGTTCAAGCGTGCAGGGGTAGATTGCAAGAAGCAGGGTCACTTATAGATGTTGAGGACTTCGAAAAACAGCTAGCCACTTTGGTGAACTGTCTCAAGCAAGGCGAGAAAGACGCAGAGAAGCAACAGCATGAGTCGCGCTATGCCAGCAGGGAGGAGGAAAGGATTCTCAATGACAAGATGTTAACAGACAATGTTCATCTCATGGAGGACGCTTCTGAAAGTGTTGGAAAAAGCCTGGCAAGGGAGATATTTGTTGTGGAAACTATGGCGACCTTATTGCAAAGTAAAAATGTCTTCGGTCAGCTGAAAGTGATTCAAAAAGAAAATGAGGGTTCTGTTTCTCAGAGGTACCAAAACTTGCTAAAAGAGATGATAGCCCAAAAAGCACAAAGCAGAAATGATGACTTGGTGGAAAAAGCAGTGAGCAGTGCATGTGTGGAAGCGGAGTTGGTTTACAAGGTTTTCAAATTCCAGCAAAAAAATTCCAACTTTGAGGAGATTCAAACTTCTGAGCTGGAACCTAACACTGAAAATGAAGACAAAGAAGATAAACCTATGCATAAACAAACTAAAGCAAATGATGATACAAAATTTGACATATGGGTAGAGGAACTTGTGTCAACACTACAAAAAACGTCAACTTTCTTACACCAACTCAGCCAGGATATCTCAGAGCCAATAACACATGAAAGTACAGATTTGAAGTGGGTGAATCAACAAGCAAAGATAATTTATTTGACCCACAGGTTATACTTAGATCTCAAACGAGAGTCTGAAAACAAAGCCAACTATTCAGAGCAAGAAGTCACAGAGACATTGTGTCATCTCGAGGAGGTCAACTGTGCGCTGAGAGAGGAACTGGAGCAGGCTGAGGAGAGGGTACGAATGGTAGAAACGGGGAATCAGAAACTGTTAGAGGACATACAAAAAATCGAGAGCTATCATGTGGAGCGGATGGAAAAACTAGAGAATGAATTCCAGGACAAGATTCAAGAGCTGCAGAGGATCCATGAAGAGGAGATGAAGCACTTGCATGATTATTACAGCAAGTCGTGTTTTTCCAAAGAGAAACTGAACAAAATGATGGCCAAGTCAACTTCAAGTCCAAGTCATAATGGAACAGAGAGCAACATGGAAGAACTGGACAAATCTGAGGTAACCACACATAAAATTTGCATTAGATTTAAGTATAGTTTTAGGCCTACTGATAGAACTAAAGATTTCTGAAAAAATAAATCTAATTGGATTTTACTGTTAGTAACAACAATTGCAAAGCATATTTCAAATCATATGCATTCCACAGCAAGGTTATTTGGTTTAATACAAACTTCAGTACAAACTTTTTAATTATTGTCTTATCGTGTGTCAGAGGGTCAGTGCACTGCAGGACATGCACAAGAAGCTCATTAGTGATTTGCAGCAGCAGCACCAGAAGGAAGTGGCCAAACTGCACAAGGAGAAAGACCAACTGCTGAAGGAGGAGACTGCTGCTACGATGGCAGGTAAATGTGTGTTTTTTTTTCACTATAGTAATTATTTGATGATATAAAATAAATTATATTAGGTGTAGGTATTAGGTATAGGTATTATAGTTGTCAACAACCAATTCGCATTTGAGCAGCAATCTATGCTAAAATGTATTTTTGGACCTGTCTTAAATAGTGTTAGAATGGTCCTCATTTTAATCAGTAAAATAACTATTATTTGAAGAAGAAAATAATGGTATTATAGATGTAGTCAAGAAGACAGAAGTGTGTTTTTTTTTTCATTAATCAAGCTGAAATGATAATATCATGATGAAGAGTTTAATCATCACTGTGCAACACAGTACTTAACAAAAGAAAATTAAGATGATAAGAAATTATTAACTTTTGGGATGTTCCTTGAGTACAATATTTTTGGCAATGCAAAGATTTAAGATTGTAATAAGCTTGCATTAAATTAATTACCACTGTTGCATAGTTGGGCTTTTGTATTCTGCAATTATCTTACATAAGCCCTATAAAGGAGCATTCATATTAATACTAATACTTGATACTAATAGTAAAATATTTTCTCAGCAATTGTAGCGATGAGGAGAGCACATAAGGAGGAACTGGAGAAAACACGGCGCACTGCGAACATCAGGGAAAACACTGACATGTCTGAACTGCACATTGAATACGAGTGAGTTTTTGTTATTGTTTTGTTTATCTTGGCTGTAATGTATTATTAATATTATAACATGTTTTTAAAGAAAGGAGCTGCAAACACTGAACAAAGACCTAGAGGTGCTGTCGGTGCAGCACACACAGAAGTGTCTGGAGAACTCACAGCTGAGCCAAGAACTGCAACAGGAACGCAAGACATTGATGCAGTACCAAAAGGAAAACCAGGAGCTTAAACAGAAACAGGTAGGCCTACTATTGAATATCATACACAGCGATGAAAGTGGTGAGAAGGAGGAGATGGAGAGGCTGAGGTGGCTGATGGTTCTGTTGCTGCGGTGAAGCTGTTGCAGATGCAGGATTTTGACCTGCAGTAGCTGAAATAGTAGTTGAAGTGTATTTATATAAATGACTTGTGAGGTGATATCTTAATAATTACTTTATCTGTGTATAAATAAGTGAAAAGGTGAACAATATTTTGAGGGATGAATCCCTTTTGAAAATATTTGCACATGGGGAACTTCTTCTTATTGTTCAGTACATTTTAGGGCTGAATATTTACTCACAGCAACATACACTACCACCTACCACCTACAATATTACTACACTTGCCCATTCATTGTCTTTTTTCTAAACATTTGCTACTTTCTACATTTAATATACAGTATAAATTAACACATATATGAAGCAAAGACTAAATCATTTTAAAACCTCAATTAAACATTTTTTATATTTTATTTTCAAATCCTCAAAGTAGCCATTCTTTGCTTTGGTGTATTTTGCCAAGGTTAAAAAAAAATCCAAAACTGAAAACCAGGGGTGGCTTTTTTTTAATATTGTATTTTTTAGTTATTTTGAGATATTTTTTTGTTTACTACATTTCACGTGTTCATTCATACTTTCGATGCTTCCAGTGAGATCTACAAAATAAATAATCATGTAGCAAGAAGAAGAATTTATGAAAAAAAGTGTGTCGAAATATTTGAATGGTAGTGACATTATTGATTTTATAAGATATTTGGAGAGAATTTTGGAAAAAATTTAGTGGGGTGCTTTATGGTTATTTTTATCAGAGGCATAAAGTGGTCTTCAGTATTATTGTTTATTTCTATATTTTTTAACCTCTATGCTTTAGCTTTGTTTGAATGACTTTAAGGTCTAGTTCTGAAAAACAAATTGAAGTTTTATTTGTTGTGTTACGTTTTTAAGAGAGAAGCCGCTGACGTTTCCTCCCTCCACTCTTTCAATGGAAAACACCTCAGTCCAGAAGCACCTGACACCTACGAGATGGAAGTAAGTTAAAAAACTTTTAAAAAGTCATAATAGTTCATTTTGAAACAGTTTTATATGTATAATTTTGGCATAACAGATCATTTTACGCGCAAGGGAAGCGGAGATGCAGTTTCTCCGACAAGAGGCTCAGTCACTTAAGGAGGAACTAAAACTCGCTCGATTGGTAGTGTCTCCTGATATTTCTGTGTAGCCTGGTTAGTTGATCTAATGAATTTAAATTTCTTTTTGTGTTTTTTGCATCAAGGATACTATTTATGCTCAAAACAAGCTGAAGTCTTTGTGTATGGGAACTCCAGATGAGAAGTTGTATGAAGATTTGAAATGGGCCACGTGGTCGCCAGGCCATCAGGGGCAAAGTCAAAGTAAGATTTTTTTGTATTATGCAAAAATGCAAGTTTTTAAAGCAAATAAGGAGATACTGTATGAGAAAATCTATTATTTATGTATTTTCTGTTTTACCTTGCTGAAACAAAAAAGACAAAATATTAAGAAAAGTCAAAATTGTGAATTATTGTAGCCAGAAATGCCTAAATAATTTTTTATTATTTCCGGCTCTATTTACAGCTATGGGTTCATCAATAAATGCCTGTGACATTCCTATAAATAAATAGGGGTGTAACAATAACCAATATATTGTGATATTGTATCATCAAAAGTCTCACAATAATATTGAATCACAAGTTTTGTTGCTTAAATTCATTGTTATGGTGCAGCAATAGCTAAAAAAACAGAAGGAACTACATTGACCATGATCCTTTGCTGCATTTTTGTGCAAACTACATGAAGAAATAACAGTTCTAAGCACATTTAAATATTAGTTCTTTGGATTAAATTTTGTCGAGGCATTTTAAGAGGAAAAAGTAGCATATTTACAAGTTTGTTAGCCTCCACAAAATATTGTAAGAGATGTATATTGTGAAAATATCGTACCATGAGATTTGGATATTCTTGCATACCTATAAATAACCTACAGTATTACATTATTTATCTATTAATTTTATTTTGTTTACTTTGTTTGTGGTTACATCTTCAGTTTAAACTTGTGTCAAAGCAAAAACTCTTCAAAACTACAACATAATGTCATAGCCTAATCATCACAAATTTTATCTTAAGGGCACATACAGGTAAATACAGTGTCATTATTTCTTTGCAGCGTTCTCAGAGGAAGCTGGGACCAACCAATGTGATGCTATTGTTCAAGATAAAACTGTCATCTCCGGTCAGTTCAAAACAGTGAGGTCAAAGGTAATATTTCACATCGTAAAAGTAAAATAAAACATAATACTTTTTTTCTGTAAGATATAGTTAATAATCTGTGCTTTTCAGAGCTTAAAAGAAGGCCTCTCTGTGCAAGAACGGATGAAGTTATTTGACTCCTGATGCATTATGGGACTTTATTACTCAAAATGGAGCAGACAAAAATATTTCAAAACCAGATGAAAACTAGACAGAAAACTCCAGAAAACAACTGTCTGTCTGTCTGTTCACACTTAACACCACTAGATGTCGCCAAATACACACAATAGTTATATCTCACGTATTTGCTATTTGAATTGATATAAGTTCTCTGAATCATTTCCAGCTGTAATAGTTTTCATGTAAAGAAATGTATGTGTGAATTCAATGACATGGGTATTTTGCATTTTTAATAGCCTACTGTAAATATGATTTTTGTTATGCCTTTGAGAATAAATAATATGTAATTAAAATAAAATAAAACAATAATGCTTACCAGAGATGGGGACTTGCAATTTGTGACTTGGACTCGAGTCAGGCTTGAGTCACTATTTTTAGGCTTGACTTGATAAAATGGACTAAGACTTGGGACTCGGCTTAAACTTGAAGATCAATGACTTGACTCGGACTTGAGACCTGTGACTTGAAAAGCACTTTTAAATCTGCATTGCTTCTATTCTGACTGTAATGATTCATACTAAGAGCTTGTCAAGACATTTAAAAAGAAAGGGGGAAAAAAAGCATTTCTACTTACATACTCTATAAATACTCACATGTAACTATATTATGACTTTTACAATTTATCTTAAAAGTCATGAATTGCAAAAATCTAAGCTATATTTGATACATTGGTTTAAAGATTTGAAATGACTTGAATTTCAAAGCAGACGACCTGGACTTGACTTGGACTTATGGGCCAGTGACTTGAGACTCGACTTGGACTTGGCTGTATTTGAACTGGGACTTGACTCGGACTTGAGGTCAAAGACTTGAGACTTACTTGAGACTTGCAAATCCATGACTTGCTCCCACCTCTGATGCTTACGCAGCTTGTGTACTTGAAACCTGATTAATCTGGGTTCATAAGTTAGAAAAACTTCCTGAAAAGCAAAAATGAGAGACAATTATGTTTCAGTATGGCAGAACCTGACAGTGACATTAACATTTGGACCTATAGGCCTACTTTTCATTTTAGAAAGGTGTGATGGTAATAAAAGAATGCATAATTTAACTGAGGAAAAAGAAAGAGAAAAAATACTTTCAGTTACCATTAAAGGCCCATCATATTACATTACTTTCTGATCTATGTTATAGTATTGTTTACTCATAAAAAAGTTACCTAGAGTTGTGTTTTGTTTCATTTACACATGTTTAACGCACAAACCTGCATATTAAGCCTGAGTTCTTCTCTCAAACAGAAAACACTCTGTTCCATCCTGTAAAATCATGTGGTAATACAAGAAGTTCTCCACTGCGTTTTTAACACACCATAATACACCATACACCTTCACACAAAATTAAAAACTCCATCCATATTTTACAGGATAATTGCACATGCTTTTAACACTTTTATATCTTTGATCTGCAATTGTTTCACTGTCTTATATCTCTATTCATTGTTTCATGTTATGTTTGATGTGTGAGATTTGTGTTTGTGCAGTTTTATTCTGCCTCTTGGCCAGGTCGTCATTGTAAATGAGAAGGTGTTCTCAATTGACTTACCTGGTAAAATATTGAATAAATAAAAAACAAAACAACACAAAACAACACAACAGTAATTTTAATAACACAAAAGTTAAAAGGTAGCTTCATGACATCACAAGGTGGAACAAGACATTTTGAGCTGTGGAGATGTAGACAAACAAATAAACCAAGGTTACTCAAACATGTCTGGATAAAACAAAACACAAACACAATCCAGGTATGTTTTTTATCGAGGAAACAACATTCTGACACGGCTTAAAGCTCACAGGAGTAAATTTTTAGCAATATGGGACCTTCAAACAAGGAACAGGCCTAAAACTGCTATTTTTAAAAAAATATTCCTTTGTTTTATTCATGTACTTTGACATAATGGAAATGTACTGAAATCCTAGTCAGTAATACAATATGTTAACTTTTGTTTCAAGATGTCGTATAGATAAGATGAGCTAAGACTCCAAGTGAACCAAGGTCACTAAACTAAACAAAATAGCAAGATTCAGCTTTTAACAATCAGCTTCTTTTTTTTTTTTTTTCAACACCTTCAAGTGTCTCTATGTCTCTCTCTTTTTAGAGTAGAGGCAGTGCAGACAGGGATCTCTTCTTGTCCGTATTGCGCCTTTGATAGGCCTGTCACGATTTTTCAAAAAATTTTGAAGTATAACATCTTGCTGAAGTTAATAGATGATATACAATAATATTGAAACTAATTTATGTAATTTATACGATAACCCAAGAGTAGATTTAAACCACAAAGACTATTCTAAATGTACAATATTGTTAAAAAAATGAGCTGCAATAAATAAACAGCAGAATTAAACACATTAGTATTTAGTTTCCATCTGTAATGAGTCATAGAAGTTATTAATTCAACCTTTTACAGCTTAAATCTCATCATATAGCCAAATAAATTACCAAAACATCAAAATAGTGCAAAGAAAATGTATACACAATAAATACTGACCCCAAAATATAGTTCCAGCTTTCATATATTGAAAGATGCGTCAATATAGTGATTATCATGACAGTCCCACCCTTTACTCAAAGTGTGATTAAACTATAAAACTTTTCACTGGATAGCTGGTTGTTTCTGACTTTTATTTTATTTTATTGAAGTTTGAACCTGCTAAAACTAAAATAGCCCAAACAAAAACAAGTCATGTGTTAGGCCTTATGAAATTTACTGATTACTGATTATTCCTACTGGATTTTTACCTCACACAACCCCACAAGCTCAGTCCTGGCTGGTTTGATCATAATGCTATCATCGTCATGGAAAAAGGGGTCTTCTTCGTCATAGTTATTTTGTGAATCACGTTGTTATGTTGTTCATGTGGGTTCAGATTACCAGAAAGGAAACATTGCGCCAAATTAAGACTATTATTACCTCACTGTGATTCGGGTCTGTTCACGTCTGCCAAGTCCGTGCACCTAAGCAAATTATATTCAAATTTAGATTTAGAGTACACAAACAAATGGAATGATCTAGGATTTTTACTGATAATTTACCTCTTGTTGTAAAACTTTCTTACGAGTTGGACAGTTGGAGAAAGTCTTATTAACATTTAATTAATGGTGTGTTACAGTTATTTACAATCTGTGTATCATTCATTCATTCGTTTTTCAATATAAAACCAAAAATAAGAAAATGAAAAAACAACAAATTTCTTCATAATTTATCTCAAAAACCAAAATGAAAAAACGGATAAGGATAATTTTTTTCAGTTTTCGATTTTGTGTTTAAATGAATAATTAAAAAAACTTTTAACAGACATTTCCCGTTTCCGTGACTTAAACTACGATGCCGGACTTTTGCGCCACATCATACGGACTGAACCGGAACTAAACCAGAACTAATCCATTTTCAGTCCTGGTCTGGTCCAAGTCTCAGTCCCAGTCTGGTCCCGCTCTGGTCTCGGTCTGGTCCCGGTCTCAGTCCCGGTCTCAGTTCCAGTCTCAATCATGGTCTGGTCCTGGTCTGGTTCTGGTCTCACTTCTGGTCTCAGTCCCGGTCTCAGTCCTGGTCCCGGTCCCAAATTCAGTCCTGGTCTGGTCCTGGTCTAAGTCCTGGTTTCAGTCCCGGTCTGCTTCCGGTCTGGTCCTGGATCTGGTTTAGTCCTGCTTTAGGTCTGGTTCAGTTCTGGTTCAGTCCTGGTTTAGTCCGGCATTGCAGTTTAAATGGCCATTATCCGCTTTTTCATTCTTCATTTAAACACAAAATCAAAAACTGAAAAAACGAATCATTATCCGTTTTTTTATTTTGGTTTTGGAGACAAATAATGAAGAAAACTGTTGTTGTTTTGTTTTCAGATTTTTGGTTTTATATTGAAAAATGTATGAATGATACACGGATTTTCCTGTTTCTATGACTTAAACTGCGATGCCAGACTGAACCAGGACTAAAACAGATTTAAACCAGGTCTAAACCAGAATTAAACCAGGACTGAGTGTCGATAAGGGCCCAGAGGTGCGCCTGCGTAGAGTGTCTGGTGATCAGGACTGAGACCTGGACCAGACTGGGACTGAGACCAGGACTGAGACCGGGACTGAGACCAGGACTGAGACCAGGATTGAGACCAGGACTGAGACCAGGACTGAGACCAGGACCAGACTGGGTCTAAGACCAGGACTGAGACCAGGACCAGACCAGGACCAGGACCAGGACTGAGACCGGGACCTAGACCAGACTGGAACCGAGACCAGGACCAGACCAAGACTGAGACGGGGACTGAGACTGGTTTAGTCCTGGTTCAGTCCTGTTTCAGTCCTGGTTCAGTCCAGCATCGCAGTTTAAGTCAGTTTAAGTCAGTTTAAGTCAGTTTAAGTCTGTTTTTTTCATTTTGGTTTTGGAGACAAATAATGAAGAATGTTGTTTTTTGTTTTCTTATTTTTGGTTTTATTTTGAAAACAAATGAATGAATGATACACAGATTATATACAGTTATCAGCGGTTATAGTAAATGTTTTTTCTAGCATAGGACAGCCTGGGCAGGTTACTTTTTTAACAACAGACAGACTAAGCATTCTGCCATGTGCGTGGGTTTGGCGCAAGGATTCGTCAATCAATCAAAAGATGAACTGCCTTCCGGGTAAGCCATTTATTTATTTCTTTTATTGATTTAAAGTGGGCCAGATTATTCTTGCTTTCTAATTATGCGTTTTTTTTGTTTGTTTGTTTTTTTTCGTATGTAGGCCTGCTGTAACTTGACGTATTCTAATATATGAAATAATATGCCTCTTTCAATTTCAACATATAAAGCTACTTGTCTTGATATTTTGTTTGCAGTGCATTTGTAAGTGATTTCAGTCTTAAAACCGCAATTTCCATAAAAATTTCATTCATTTGCCATTAAAGCAAACGAAACAACATAAAAAACATTGTTACCTCCTCAAAAAACACACCCAGAGGTTTTTTTTAATTATTATTATTAGTTCCAAAACTCAAAATACTCCACCTTTTGATGGCATGTAGTTGTAGTTTTCAAGTTAATAGCTAACTTTTACCTTTTGTTAAATAGAAATCACTAATTCTTGGACTGAAATGATCCAAATGATTCTAGTGAAGGTCTGTGTGTGACATCACAAGGTGGAACAGAGTGCTTTGTGTTTAAGAGAAGAATTCAGCCTATGCCCCATCCAGCTCTCAATGGATTAATGAAGTTATGTCCTTTTTGAAAGTAGAGAAGATTAGGTACTCCAAGAAAGGTAACATAAACCATTTTTTTTAGAAAGTGTCAACCATTTATTGACTCTTTTGAAACAGTGTAAACCAATCCTAATCTTTTTATTATAATTACTATTAATTTTATTTGATTATTATTTGATTTGATTTGATTTGATTATTTTTTGTTATTAATAATAGTAGTAGTAAACATATTATCTTGCTATCTCTATTATATTATTATTATATTGTATGACGCTACTCGTATTTCTTGAGTGATTTGTTTTTGTTAGTTAACTTTATAAAGTATGTTTTATCTGCATAAATTAAAAAAAAAAATGTGTGTACATGTGTTGTTTGAATGTCATATCTATATCTGTTTACACATGAGTAAAAACATATGAAACCGAAGAGAAGAAGTCAGCCTAAATATGCAGGGGTTGCGTGTTAAACTTGACAACAAAACATGACACCAGGTCTGTTTGTGGTGTGTAAACAACATTATGAGAGAGCAGAAAATAGTCTAATATGGGGCCCAAGCTTGCAAGTTTTAGCCTTAATATTTGACTTTACATGAGAACTTCTGGTTTCATTTGGTTTTGTAAAGAGGTGAAATCAAAAGAAATATTCCATGCATATATTCTATTCACAATCAACATGATCTCATGGTCAAAAGTTCAAAACCATAGGCTTGGCATGACATCTCTCCCCCTTTAAATTTGACCACACACCAAGACCAAAGCTAAGTACACAATCCAGTAAAAACGTATTTGCAGTGTGCACCTGCGAGCCAAGTCGGCCCACAAACGTTTGCACCTCTGATGACGGATCTCTGCTAGAAACACCAGAATACTCGTGCACCTGCTCAGGCTGTAAAAAGAAGTGCCCTATTTAAACATGCAAAGATCAATTATGCTCACGGCAAACACAAAGTAAGGAGAAAGGATGCTGCTTCATATATAGGAATCAGCGTCATCATGTGTGCTCCTCACGTGGCTCAGACCGACCACCAAGGACAAAAAAAAACTAACAAAAACGAAATCATGCAATCCACTGAAGATTATTCACCTATCGTTGGGGACCGTGTGATACCATACTGTAATAGGACTGAAACAAGTTAGACGAAGCTACCAGATTAATAATTCTGACGTAGTATAATACAGTATGTCACCTGTACCCAAGTGTATTTAAAACACTTTATAGTTATAATTCAAACTTTGTGCTCATGGCCCCTAATGCAGTCTCTGTCCCAAATGTGGTCCTGCTGGCCCAATTTGAGGCTCCATCCACACTGAAAATCCTTTAAATAACTGCCTGGGATCAGCTATCGACTGTGCTATCTCTGTCCCCATAGCACGCTCCACATCTGGCCTGCCATCTCCAAAAGTCAACCCATGACCTATTTAGAGTCCCCACAGTAGAGGAACAATCCATGATCTACACCCAATTCTACAAAACACAGAGCCAGGAGGCACACACAAACACTCTGAACGTGACATTTGATGAAATGACACGTGCGCATGTTGCATTTGAGAAAGCTGGGTGAGAGCATTTTGCATTGACTTTTATTATTACAATGACATAATACGTAATGTATATGCATATTCTATACTCTGTTTAACAAGCTTTATTATGGGAAAGCATAGTCCATTCTTACTTTTGCTTGTTGAATGGTTAAAATTTAATTGAAGACTACAAAATGATTTCATGTCCGATCTCTTGCTGTGTTTAGAATTTCAGGATGTACGGTCCCTTAAGATGTAGCATCTTCCAGAGTGTAATCTAATACAGAAGCAGCATTACTTCAGAAGCTGTGCCAGCCTGCATTTGACTCTCACGCTCCATCCTTCACTTGTGAACAACACGCCGACATACTTAAAATCCTCATCTTAGGGCAGAAGCTCACCTGTTGCTTCAGACTTAGTGACAAACTCTTGCATGTTACAGATCCCAATTAGATCTGTAACATGCAAGAGTTTCTGCGAACAGCAATGATTAGATGCTGCAGCTCTAGAGACTCAGATTCTTAGAAAAGATCATATCCACCTGAGACAAACAAAACTGTCTAACGAACATGCCTGTCTATAATCTGTTACCTGAATTAAGACCCAATTATGTTAGCGTGGCATTTTTTTGTTTCTTTTATTCTCCAGCTCTCTTGGTTTAACACTTGGATCCACCCACTGATGTCAGGAGGTTTTCTCTGGAAGCGACTGTGTGTTTAATCCAAACACCTTCAGTGGACATGTTATCATTTCAGATTGCTTCTACAAACTATATATAGTTTTAATCTTCTTCATTCCAGCCTGTACACTCTTTTATTAAGCCATACATGCATTTTATTAAGTTAAGTTAGAGGACATTTACCTGTTTAGTTTGTTTATTTGTTTGGAGAAGTGAACTATTTAAGGTCTTTTGCCCAGAAAATCTAACAATAACCAAACAGATCTCAAAACATTGTATCTTACAGAATTTGTTACAGCTGTATTTTATCCAAATGACCTTGAGAACAGTTTTGTTGTTCTTTCTATTGTTTCTGGAAGTGTTGTGCAGTGTGAGCTAAATCATGTGATAGATTTGATGAATTTCACAGCCACATTACAATATTTATCAGGAGGATTGTCCATATACAATTTTGTCCACAGCCCTGCCCCTCCAGAGCTTACTGTACATGCACTCCTCACTTCAGTACAGGGCACAACTGCTGACCCTCGTGGTGCAACACTTGTTTGAGGACATGTTTCGTAGTTTGCAAATGCCAGCTATCTACAGTGACACAGCGCGAGGGAGGGAGAGGGGGAGAGCTGTGAGCGCGGGTGCACTGGATGTGGGATACTGAGTGGGATCAGCACCGCAGATAGATCAGATGGCACATATTCTCAATGTGTCAGACAGGACAAGACTGACAAGTCAAGAAAACGGCATGCATCATTTTTTTTGGACCTTTTTCGTGGACTCTATGCTACATTTTTGGACATTGTAACTTTTGCCAAGTACAAATTCCAATCTGGAGAGTCAGTCTTGAATGATTGAGATGAGTTCTGTCTGTGTCTGATGTTTTTAAGCTACGATATGACAGTACTTTTTTGTTGGAGGTGTTTGCAGCTGCTCTGTGTATAATAGAACCTCAAGAACCATGCAAGAACGCAGCAAGAGACTTCTGGAAGACGACAACAAGTGGGACCATCACTGACAAAACCATCTGCGCACAAGGTTAGCCAATTTATATATTTTTATTATACTGTAATTTTAGATAATCATTGGTGTTACAAGCCTGGCTGCTAACAATAAGTGTTAAGCTCACAGCCCAGCAGGCAAAGCGTGGCACTCCAGACTACTAGATATTAATATCCTCAACATCCTGGCTCCTAGCAACTGAGCATTGAGGAACTGCTAGTTTTAAAAAGACACACGCACAAGCCCTTTTGGTCGGGGAGATTATGGGTCCTGTTTTATCAATGGCAGTTTTACATTCTGAAATCTTTAAAGTTCACGCTTCAGGTTTAAATAAATCTACAGAACGCGCTGCACCTGTTCTTTTGAGGGGAGCACATGCCCAGTGTAAGGACATCTGCGTCTGCTCTGCCCACAGAGAGGGCTCGTTTACGGGCTTTAGCGCTTATATCCCACTTGGTGTAACTGTGGAAGTACAGCACAGGTTTTTTAAATACATGTCACTCACTGTGTATATGGCAAATGTATGATGTGTTATAATGATAGGGCCATAATTATGCTGTCACAGTCCTCTGCATTCAGTAACGTCCATTACTCTATAATTGAAGCTCTGTTTTAGGCGCTGAAGTAGGTAGAGGAATAATCTATGGTTCAAACTTTCATTGTTTTTAGTTTAGTGACATAAGAAAAAATATGAAAATATATTAAATCCTTGAAATGTGTTAGTTGGATACATATGTATAGCAAAAATAATATATATATTGGCTATTTATCACAGAGGCTAAAAGGTAAAAAAGAAAAAAAAATATTCTCAATATAATCTATAGAAATAAAAAATAATATGCAATTTCTTGAATTTCCCTCAATAAAGTATCATATCTCTCGCTTTCTCTTTCTCTCTCTGTCACTCTCTAATCATTATGGTAAACTGTGAGTGAATATATCTGTACAGCATATTTGAACGTAATGTTCAGATTAAAGCCCATTGGTCCATGTTGGTAAAGTGACTGCGTCTCTGTTTTTACGATGTCCTGTTTATGGGACATATATTTTGGATGACAGCCTTAGGGGAATCAGCAGTACTCCAGGGGCTGTAATCATCTGCCAGTAGAGAAACAGAACATACGTCACATAAAATGGCAGGGCATTGGATTAGCTGGCTATTTCTGTGCTGTGTTTACCACACAAACATGTATTGTATGCACCATGAGTGTCTGAAAACACAATTAATGTTTGAGGAAACCGTCTGTCTGTGTCAGAATTATCTTCATAACTAGCTGTGTCCCTGGGTTATTTAGGGTTATGAGGTTATAGGGCTCAACATGGGACACATGGAAATGAGATGTTGTTTGTTTTTTACTTGTTTTTATTAAGAAACTTTGGTGCAAGCCACACACAACAGTAAAAATACAATATAAATAAAATGACATAAAATAAAATTACAGTGTAGATAAAGTCATACACATAATCACACAAAAATGTTTATATATTTACTTTTCCACTGAATGATTTTGGGGAGGAGCGGTCTGAGCCAAGAGGCCATTATAATTTTTTTGTCAATTAAGAATGAAATTTTCAACAAATAAAAATTACTATTTGATCTAATGCTTTTTGGAAAAATTTCCAACAGCACAAAGGTCGGCTCTAATACAATTTGGATAACTAAACAGTTTTCAATTTCACATTGCACATCTTTCCAAAACATTGCCAGTTTAGGGCAGTCCCAGAATATATGGGAATGATCCCCGCTAGACCACAGCCCCTCCAACATTTATTCAAGCTCCCACCAAATTTAGATGTAACAAAAGGAGCTGGAAAAAATCTGATTATAGTTTTCCATTCAAACACTTATTTTAGTCTGGGCTTTGTGTAGTTTGACATCCCTCCCAAAGCGTCAGTTTCCAGTACTCATCCTTAATTATTGGATAATGTTTTATTACATATGGTAAAGATATTTGTTTAGGCTTTTTGTCATCGAATTCTTGCTTTTATACTGATGTCTACAGCACTAATATTTACTATATTTCTAATTCACAGATACATCCTCCATGTGCACCCTGTCACCTGCCCCCGTCACCTGCTCTGCACTCTGAGGTCCTGTGACCCATGAGTCTGGACACAGTTGCATGAAGCAGGTGGATCACAGCCCACAGAGGGATGAGCGTGGAGAGGTCCAACCACCACAGCTTTGTGTCTTGTGAAGACGAGAGCTTCAGACTCAGTACCATGCCTGCTGTTGGCACTTTTGGCAATGGCAAAATCCACACACGACGGAGATACCACACCCGCTTCGTCAGTAAGAGCGGACAGTGTAACATCCAGTTCTCCAACATGGATGAGCTGTCCACGAGGTACCTGTCAGACATTTTCACCACCTGTGTTGACATACGATGGAGGTTCATGTTCCTTCTCTTCAGCCTGGCCTTCGTGGTGTCCTGGCTGTTGTTTGGTTTGGGGTACTGGGTCATTGGCACATTGCATGGGGACATGGAAAACAATGATGAGAACTTTGTTCCCTGTGTGACACTAGTGAGGTCCTTTGTGGCAGCGTTTCTGTTTTCCATCGAGACGCAGACAACTATAGGTTACGGAGCACGCTGTGTGACAGAGGAGTGCCCTGCTGCTGTGTTCATGGTGGTCTTTCAGTCCATTATGGGCTGCATCATCGACGCCTTCATGATCGGGGCCATCATGGCCAAGATGGCGCGGCCTAAGAAACGTGCTGAAACGCTCCTGTTTAGTCAGAACGCAGTTATTGCCATGCGTGATGGAAAGTTGTGCCTCATGTTCCGAGTGGCCAACCTGAGGAAGAGCCACATAGTAGAGGCTCATGTGCGGGCCCAGCTGGTGAAGCCTCGGTACACGGAGGAGGGAGAGTACATCCCTTTGGACCAGCTGGATATGAATGTGGGCTACGACAAAGGCACGGACCGCCTGTTCCTGGTCGCTCCCCTCACAGTCATCCATGAGATAGATGATGAAAGCCCTCTGTTTGGAATCAGCAAGCAAGACCTGGAGACAGCAGACTTTGAGATCGTCATCATCCTGGAGGGGCTGGTGGAGGCCACAGCCATGACCACCCAGGCACGGAGCTCATACCTACCCTCGGAGATCCTGTGGGGGCACCGCTTTGAACCAGTGGTCTTTGAGGAGAAGAACCAGTACAGGATAGACTACTCTTATTTTCACAAAACATTTGAAGTACCATCCACACCCAGATGCAGTGCCAAGGACATAGAGGAGAGGAAGTTGCCCACATCTGGGGCTAACTCCTTCTGCTATGAGAACGAGCTGGCCTTCATCAGCCGTGATGAGGAGGAAGAGGAGGCAGAGGAGCACAGAGGGCAACAGAAGCGTCTGTCTGGACTGTCTGCTCTGGGCAGTGACCAGGCTTCCTCTCGCAGAGAGTCTGAGATCTGAGACTGTCTTTTTCTCTGCTCCATGTTTGGAGACGACAAACAGGCCCAGTGACTGTCAGTGCAGTGGCACGAGGAGCCTGATCATGACCAGCTGAGGGTATTTTTGAAATACTCTTTGGATTTTGATATGAAACCTTTTGCTTTCCTCAAGTATATGAAAAGATACAGGGTAACTATTGTTTGGTCATTTGAAAAATCAACAAAATCAAAATACATAGTATTTTTTGCAAATACCTAAGATGTTTTTGGCTGATAATATTTTACAAAGAAAAAAGTGGATCAAGGAGGATTATCATGAATGGATGGCACTTAAATCAAAAACACATTTTGTGAAGTCAGAAGTTCTACTTTCTTGCAACAAATGACAACTAAGATGTACTATGATGTGAACTTTACATAAGTTTAAGATTAGCCTGTCAGTATTATTTCATTGTCTGAGCATAGTCTGTATTCTGCTGCTAAATCTGTTCCTAATCCATCATCCACAGTTTACACACCAAAAACAGAACTTTGCGTCTATGGCCATTTGAAATGTCAGCAATTATTTTCTTAGAGTTCACATAAATGAAAAAGCATCTTACGGTATTGTAGAAATTCTTACTTTTTCTCTTAAAATGGCATATTTCAGAAAGATTAACACAGAGGCAAGTTAATGGATCCTCTGCGAAAACAACTCAAGAGTTCACCATATTTAGAAATATTTGGGAATAATAAATTAACTTAAGGGACTTATATTCTTGTTATCTACTTATAAATAATACTGAACAGTCAACAATTTTATTAAGCAGAGCCGTGACTATGGACAAAACTAAGCACATGTGGGGCCCACATCCTCAAGGAGGGCACAAGCAATGTTTACCTCATCTGACCAGCAGCTGAGTTTTGCAAATGTCTGCTGGGATAATCTACACTTACAGAAGGATTAGTTATAGAGTTAAGGGTCGAATGTGAAAAACTTTACATCACCGTCAGATCAATTGGCAAAAGCAATATTTTTTTAAAAAGCTATGGAAGTACTACTACTATTTATCATGCTGTAGTGTCAGAATACTTTTGAATGAATGCTAAGTTTCATAATCAGCATCTTAAAATCTCCATTGATTTAAAGCCTCACTGTGTAACTTTTGGCAAAAAAAATATACTAAAATAAAAGCTTTTCTTTTTTTTTAAATTTTGGATGTTTTTGTGTCCTTACTGTAAGCAGGCTTGCATCTCGGCAAACCTGACTCTTAGTTGGCCTGGAGGAGGCTTTGGCTATAATATTCCACAGTATGGCATAAAACGTATACACATGCCCATGGAAAATATTCCGAAGTATGGTTTCTATTTGCATGGAATAAAGCAGGTGAAAGTTACACAGTGTTACTTTAAAGAGCCTATATTACGCTATTGTCTGGTCTATGTTATGATATTGTTTCCTCTGCAAAAACATACCTGCCTATGTGTTTTGTTTTGTTCACACATGTTTAACACACAAATCCTACATATTTAGGCTTCTTCTCTTAAATGGAAAACACTCTGTTCCACCTTGTGATGTCACGTGGTAATACAGGAAGTGCTCTACTGTGTTTTTAAACTCCATTCACCTTCACTACAATCATTTGGATAATTTCAGCCCTTGAATTGTCGATTTCTATTAAACAAAAGGTAAAAAGAGTTGTTAACTTGAAAACTACAAGGTGGAGCACAGCATTTTGAGCTTTGGAGTTGTAGACAGACTACATTACTCAGGTGAGAATGAAACAAAACACAATCTCGGGTATGTTTTTGATGAAGCAACAACACTACAACATGGCTTAAAGCTCACAAGAGTCAATTATGCGTAATGTAGGACCTTTAACACAATCCTGATCCTATAGAGTACAAAGTAGAACTAAATTATACATCTGTCTGTTTATTTTTTTTATTCCACAATTGTCCTTGGTGGTTCGGTATATATCACCTCCACCTACAGCATTTAACATAGGGCCCTTAAGAAGCTAGAACCGGCCCTGAGCTTGTACAGGTGCACTGATAAAAACTATTGGGTCAGAACATGTACACTTTCAGTTGTTACCGGTGAGACAAATTAGCTTCGGCACTACATTTCATCAAACTCCAGCCTCCATTTGGGTTACCTCCTACACCTGACTGCCTTCTCAGCAAAAGCACGGACACATTTTTGTATTTTTATATCCTGCTGACACGCGCTGAATAAATGGACCTAGGAGTGCGGGGAAGAAACAGATAGTGCTTCCACAATAGCTCCTGTATTAGTCAGATAACCATTCTTGTCTTGTACATACGAATGAGGTCGGGTTTATTTATTTATTCTGGTCCAGCGACCTTTTCAGACCGACTAGCAGCTAGGCACTTCACCAACAATGTAATCATAAGCCATGTTGGACTAGATGGACTCTTAATAGCATCTGCACTCAAACTTTGACCTCTCGTCTTCCACCGAGCGCATTTGAAGCAATCTCTACTCTCTTTAAGTTCTCGATCGTGCACATTGTGAGAAAATGATTTACAAAGTGACAGGCGGAGTTGACGACCACAATAAAAATATATCAGACCAAAATGTAATCCGCAGTTCTTTTGTGGTGCATATACATGAAGGTGTTAAGCAGTGGGATTGTTTGGTGCTTATATGATACGTGTCTTAAGATAAACTAACAACTATTGGAGTGATCACGAACATTGGCAGGAGGTACACACTGCAAAAAACAAAAAAACAAAACAAAAACAAAAACAGATATGGAACAATAGAAGACAAATGCATACACCGCCACAGCAGACACGGTGTAAAGTGTGTGTGTGTTGTGTGTATGAGTAAGAGTCAGTAAATACAGATGACTAATTGTGTATATGTGTTATGTCATGTAGAGATTCTTAACAGTGTATTAAAGGGATAAGATCAGTGTTGAGAATAATGACAACTGTGGAAATAATAACAGTACAAGTGGGAAGAGAAAGAGGTGAGGGAACCTGGTTATGTTTGTTAATGAATTTTTTGGATTGGTGTTTAAGCCTCCAAGTATTTCATGTGCCCAACAAAAACAGAATCTTGACTTAAAGGTGCAGTGGTTCTGGTGGAGGATCCGTCACCTACTTGTTAATCCGTTGAGATGTTATTACTCTACCTGGAAATGTTTCATGGTATTGTTTGACATTAAACTGAAATAACGTGATATCGTATCGTCAAAAGTCTCACAATAATATCGTGGGCTGTCACAATATATCTAATTACAAGTTCCTTTGCTTAAATGTATAGTTGTACAGCTTATAAACATCGGGAACTACATATCCCATGATTCATTTCAGTGCAAACAACATGACGTAATATGTTTTTTACTTGAATTCTTGGGATTATGACGGAAATAATTTACACCAAAATCTTGTCAAGGTATTTTAAAAGCAGAATATTAGCCTCTACAAAATATCGCAATAAATATCGTACCGTGAGATGCATATCATGATAATATCGTACCTAGAGATTTAGATATTGTTACATCCCTACTATCTAGCATTTATTCATTATGGGTGTTTCTGTTGCTCAAAAATACAATTATTATCCCTGTGAATAGAGACGACTCTTCACTCCGTAGATCTGACCTATAATGTAGCTTATAGTTGTTTCCCTCAAGATACAAAGGTTGAATCTCTATCTTGGATCATTCTAGACCAAGCAATAACATTTCCATGAAGACAAGCAGGTGAGGGCCCCTCAGCCAGAAAAGTTGCTCAATGCACCTTTAAATGTCCCATATTACACAAAAATGATTCTTATGAACTTTTAGCCATGTTAGAACTAGGGGTATGCAAAAATATTAAAATATCGATATACCGTATCTTTTAATGTGATGATACAGTATCGATATAGTGGGCTGCTGTATCAATATATCACCAAGAGTATTTTTTGGTATATTTTACAAAATTATTTTGTTACAGCGCTACAGTTTTGTTGCTTGTTTAGAGAAAGGAAACTCATTTATGTTTCATATTCACTTTTCACAAGAAGTGGTTTAGCAAAGAGTTTTAGTATCACAGCCATGATTTAGCCATTAGTTTTTATTGAACCGTATCAAATCGATTTGAAATATATCATATTGAATCATATCAAATCGAAAGCTCACTGAATTGAGATATGTATTGTATCGGCAACTTCTGAATGATATCCAGCTCTAGTTAGAATGTTGTTACCTCCTCAAAAACATACGTGGAGCTGTGTTTGAGTTATCATTTATTATGAGTCTGTCTACATCTACAAAGCTCAAAATTCTCCGTTCCACCTTGTGATGTCATGAAGCAGTAGTTTCCAAGTTAACAGCTCCTTTTACTTTTAGGTCACTAGAGATTGGCAATTCCAGAGCAGAAATTATCCAAATGATCCTAGTGAAAATGTATGGTGTATGGAGCACTTCCTGTATTATCACATGACATCACAAACTGGACCAGAGTGTTTTCAGTTTGAGAGAAAAACTCAAACATTTATTTATTAAACATGTGTGAATGGAACAAAACACAACTCCAGGTTTGTTTGTGATGAGGAAACAACATAACATAGATCAGAAACTAGCGTAATATGAGCCCTTTAAGAGAAACTAAAAACTATTGGAGTACAGTAAAAAATATATGTTAACTTGACTAAGGTAACTTTTGTCAACATGTATCTGATTACTTTTATTTCACACTAACATGTTTGACTCCTGGGCTTTAGTGTAGCATGGAAATGGGATGAAGGGTGGGGAGACATTCATCAAACTGCTTCGCTTAGGAATCTGTCACTCACCACTCATTTTTTTGCAGTGTAGACCTTCTCTGGTTGATAATATATGGCAGAGATTTGGTAGGCGGGGTTCTGCGAGGGGTCAGAGGTTTCTCCTTTCACTCTTATGTAACGCAGGGGGAATTTGTAACACCAAAGAGCACGCCTGGCAGGACCACTGGATGTGAGGGCTCGGTCACCTTGAACACTGGAGGGGACACACGTCGCACAAAACAGGCTAAAGCCAGTCTGTC